AAAAAATCAGCTAAGAGAATATTGTCTTGCAGAAGATTAAAGCCTTGTTCAACTTCTTGTTAATTGACTTTTGGAAGTTCCTAAGTATGTTTTTAAGAAACTCTAAAGAATATGAAATAATAACAAGTTACTATTGTGATGGTATAACCTATTTTATTGCCTTTAGCCATTGGTGACCTGCATTTTACTTCAGGCTGAGAACCAAGTTGCAATGGGGCAGCTCCAATTTCAACTGGCTCCAGATTTTATTCCAAACATTTGGAATATATGGAACATGCCATATGTAGAAGAATATACAGTATTTCTTGTACCATTTATCTGACTTAAGGTAGACACGAGGAAAAAAAACCCATGAAACACTGTATTTAACAAAATTTTTTTATTTTATTCATTTTCATTTTATTAACAAATCTATTTGACCCAAGATATCATTTTTAAATGACTTAAAGCATAGGAATATAGAATATGTAACTTTTCCCATGAGGTTGGGCCGTTTAACTCAGTGGTTCTCCTACTATTGGAAATGGAACACAATTTCCTGTGTTTTGAAAAGTTTAGACAAATGGATTTCAAGCTAAGGCATATAAAACATTCCTTTCCCCATTCAAGATGTATCCCTTAGTGTTGTTTTCTCTGGTATCCCAAATGCCTACATAAATCCTGGCACATAATAAAAATAAATACATATGAATGAATGTTTAAGTTTCAAATAATTTTGCCACATCTCTCCACCACCTCCCTTTCAAGAACATCCCCTGAAAGGATGTTGTTTTAGTATGCAAAGATCACAGAATGAAGAAAAACAGCAAAAAGGGTAAGACTTTGAAATATTCAATGAAATGGTACATGTATTTTTTACTTTGTATTCTAAGAACTTTGCAATAATAAGTTACCTTGGGGGAGGAGCTCAGAGTTATTCTGCCAGGACCAACTGGGTGGTGGGCACTGAGGCAGGTACATGGAATGCAGTGTGCACATGACATATTAGTTCCCTGCATTCAGGTTTGATTTCTACATCATCAAGAGTGTTTCATGCAAGAATTAATTATTTTTAGTCTTTCCAGATGTTTTGTCATACCCACCCCCTTTTCTTGCCTGCCATTTTTTTGTATTGAAGTATAATAGTGATGTCAATAAACTGCGTATTTTAAAAGTGTACAACTTAATAAATCTTATGTATATAACCATGACACAATTACCACAATCAAGATAATGGACATATCCATAGCCCCTGAAAGCTTCCCTTGCCCCTATGTAATCCATCTCTTCCTCCTCCTTGCCTAGACCTTCTCACTCAGAGAACAACAATCTACAGTGTTGCCACTTTGGATTAGTTTGCATTTTCTAGAGTTTTTATGTAAATGGAATCATGCAATATATCTGGCTTCTTTCTTTCACATGGCACAATTATTTTGAGATTCACCTATGTTGTCACATGTAGCAATAGTTCATCCTTTTTTATTGCAGAGTAGTATTCTGTTGCATGGACACATAATAATTTGTTTACTTACTCCCCTATTGATGAAAAATCAGATTATTTCTTGTTTTTGTCTATTAAAAATAAAGCTTCTGCCTTTTTAGAAAATAGTTCCTCAAAAAGCTAAACATAAAGTTACCATATAATCAAGAAGTTCTACTCCTAAGTATATATATCCAACATATATAAACATGTCACACAAAATGTTGTACATGAATGTTCATAGAAGCATTACTCATAATAGCCAAAAAATGGTAACTCAAATACACATTCACTGATGAAGAAACAGAATGTGGTATATTCACAACAAAGGAATATTATTAAGCAATTAAAGAGAATGAAGGACTGATACATGCCACACCCTTGAAAACATTATGCTAAATGAAATAAGCCAGACACAGAAGGCTATATGTTGTATGATTTTAATTAAATGAAATATCCAAAATAGAATTTGGACATAGAGACAGAAAATTCACAGAAACAGGAAGTAGAATAGTGACTGCCAAGGGCTGGGTGGTGGTGGTTGGAGGAGGGGGGTTATAGAAATGAGTGTTAATGAACATAGGGTTTCTTTTTGAGGTGATGAAAATGTTCTAAGATTAGATGGTGGTGATGGTTGCATAATTCTGTAACTAGACTAAAAACTCCTGGATTGTAGTAGTTTTTAGCCTATTTTACAGTGATTTTTATGATACAGTAATTATTTCTCAATAAAACTAACTTTTTCAGCTTTATTAAAGTATAATTGATAAAGCTGTAAGATATTTAAAATGTACAGTGTGATGATTTGATATATGTATACATTGTGAAAGGATTCCTCCCATTGAGTTAACACATCTATCATTGCCCATCTCACATATTAACTTTTCCTTTCTTTTTTTTTTTTTTTGGTGAGAACATTTAAGTTCTACTCTCTTAGCAAACTGCAGAAACTGCAATAACCAATCATGTACAAGTCTTTGTATGGACATACACTTTGATTTCTCTTGGGTAAATACCTAGAATAGCTGGGTCACATGATAGGTGTATGTTGGCCTTTTTAAGAAACTGCCACTGTTATGCAGAGTGATTGCACCATTTTCATTTCTAGCAGCAGTGTATCAGAGTTCCAGTTCCTATACATAACCACCAACACTTGGTATGTTCAGTCTTTTAATTTAAACTGTAGTAATTGTAGAGTGGTATTTTGCAATTTTCTTGCTTTCTAACAAATGATGTTGGCATTTTTGTTCTATCAGATATCTATACATATTCTATATTCCATGATGCAATCTGTTCGTATTTTATGCCCACTTTTTACTGGGTTGGTTGTTTTGTTATTACTGAGCTTTGAAAGTTCTTTATATATTGGTATACAAGGGTTTACCAGATATGTGGTTTGCTAATATTTTCTCCTAGTCTGTGGCTTGTTTTCTCATTCACTTAACAGTTCTTTGAGAGAGCATAAGTTCTTAATTTTGATTAAGTGCAATTTATCATTTTTTTTCATTCATGGATCATGCCTTCAGAAATATAACTAAAAATTATTTGCCTAATCCAAGGTCACAAAAATTTTCTTCTGTTTTTCTCTCCTAGAAGTTTAATAGTTTTAGATTTTACAGTTAGGTCAAAGATTCATTTTAAGTTCATTTTTCCAAATGACACAAGGTATGAATTCAGTTTCATTTTTCTCAAATATAATTGTTCCAGTACCATTTGTTTAAGAGGCTGAATTGCCTTTCCATCTTAGGCAAAAATCAATTGACCAGTAAGTCTATTTCTGGGCTCTCTTTCTCTTCTGTTTGTCTATCTTGATGTCAGTATCGCATTGTCTTGATTACTATTACCATTCTGTATTCCTACCAGCAATTTATTAGAGTGCCAGTGGCTCCATATCTTTATTAGCACTTGGTATTATCAGGTTTTTTAAAATTAGCTATTATATTTAAATGTGTAGTGGTATCTAATGTTTTCAATTTACATTAAAATTAGGTTGTTCTTTTTCTAAGCTTCCCACCATTTTCTGAAACTTAATTTTCCCTCGTTTCCACACAGCAACCATTTCAGTGTGTATGGAGGCCCCCTTGTGTTTTCTTGCCTTTTGAAAGAACAGGCAAACTTGAAATCACTGCAAGTAGTCTGCCTTCACAAATATACTAGAATGCGCTAGCTTGAATTCAGGCCAAACCTTTGGAGTCACCTTGACTTCCTCTTTTTCTCACACCCTGTATTTGATCTGTCAGTAAATCTTATCAGTTTTACCACAAAAACATCCAGACCCAATTTCTTACCACCACCATCTTCCCTTGCTTTGCCTTCTCTAATAGCTTCCTACTTGGGCTCCCTACTTGGGCTCTGGCCTAACTTACATCAGGTTACAACACATCTGCCAGAGTGATCCTTTACAAAAAAAGTTGAGTTTGATCTCCTTACTCTTCTGATCAAAAGCTGTCAGAGACTTGCCAATTCATTAAGCCAAAACTCTTATTGTGGACTACAAGACCATGATCTGGTAACCGGCTACCTCACGTCCCATTGTTTTCCACTTACTCAAATCCAGCCCACAGGCCTCCTTACTCCGGGGTCAGTCCTTTCCTTCTTCTGCATGAAACGCTTTCCTGCAGGTGTCTTCATTGGTACTTTCCACATTTCCTTCAGCTCTCAATACCACTTGAGCCATTTTCTCTGATCACTCTATCCAAAAATGCACGCCCACACACTCATATGCACACCACCTTTTGTCTTCTTAGTAGCACTAGTTAATACAGTAGTTATGTTTATTAACATAGTGTTCACCATGTTTTAAGGATTCATTAACTGAATCCTTATAACATCATGAGGTAAGCACTTAATTATTATTTTTCCAAGAGGAAGCTTAAACACAAAGGTTAAGCAATTGTCCCAAATCACACAACTATCAAATCGTGTAGCAGGCATTCTATCCCAAGGAATTCAACTTTGGATTCCCTGCTATATAACACGATGCCATCCAGGGCTGCCTTTCTAATCACTTTCTAATGTTTATGTTGTGTGTGCTTCACTGGAATCTAAGCTGCTTGCAAGAGCTTCCTTTGGAAACGACTGTAGTGCAGGCAACATTGCCTGCCAGCTGGTCCCTTAGTAAAGGCTGAAAAGTGGCTAAATTGGAACTCAAAAAAATAATTACCATCGAACTCCAAAACACATGCAAAACCCGAAGGCTTTTCGGGTACTGACGAGGGCGGGGTAGACTCCGGGGCGTGTAGAGAGGCGGGTGGAATCAACGCCGGAGGCGCCTTCAAGTGCAGCCTGAAAGGCTGGGGAGCAGAGGGGTCGTGGCTAGTAAGGAATAACTATGCTGAGGACAAGTTATTGTCGTTGACCTAACAGGCTTAAAATTTCACGGGTGGGCTAACTGAGGTATGAGCGGGCCCGTAACACGGAAGACTGTAAACTATACCGCTCTAGAAGATCGAAGAATAGGCGGTACGTGGAGGTGGCAACGTTGGGCGCACCCGCGACACCGGTCCGGGCGCGTCCGCTTCGCCCCGCCCCGAGGATTGGCTCCTGCGGCCCCGCCCGTCCGAGTGACCCTGCACTGAAGGATCTGCACGGAGCAACCCGGAAGTGATTGTGATGCGCAGCCGCACAGTCCTCGAGCTCGACTCTCTTTTCCAGTTGGCGTGGTTTGCGTGTAGGCCGTCTGCTGTTCGGTGGTCTGCACCATGAGCGTCCCGGCGTTCATCGACATCAGTGAAGAAGATCAGGTATGTTTCCGGGCCGCGGGTGTCGCCAGGGTAGGGTTGGGGGAGGTCTCAGTGGTGTAAGCGGTCGAGTTCGGGCCTAGCCTGGGACAGGAGGGAGGGACGCCGCTCAGCGGAACCCGCGCTTGGGTTGAGAGCCGCAACTCCCTTCTCCACGCGCGGGGGTGGGAGGTCCTGGAGACACGGGCGAGGGTTTCTGGTCTGGAGTTGCGCAGGGCCGCTTCCGCGGTTCCCAGACCTGGGCGCGAGTCTCCACGGACAGCTTGGTCGCCGTTGGCTCCTCCAGGCCAGTCATTTCTGACGGCACAGTATTTTTTGACGCATTGGGAATGGTGTCTGCTTCCGTCTCCTGAATGCAGCCACATCCGGAGTGGGAGGTGGCCAGTCTAGTCGGAGTAAACTGTCTAGGGGAAAAATAATTTTGTGCTAAATATCAAAATGGTTTTACTATGTGATCACAGAAGGACAGGTGACCCTATTTTTTACGTATACCGTATTGTATATTATTTATTGTGCAAGTGTGAGAGTTACGTAACCTGAAAATGGAATGTCAGTTACACCCTCATTTTTTCAGACATACTCCTGAAGAAGAATCATCCCAATATTTTGGAAGTTTCTGTTCAGGGTTTGCTTTTTAGTACGCATAGCTAATACGTCTCATTTTTCCCATAACAGAAGTTGAACTTTATTTGGTGGGAGTTCAGCTGAACATGAAATGATCTAATTTTGCAAAACTGGAAACTGTTCTCTAAAGTGTCGTCATTTTGCATTTTTCTGCTAATCCGTTAACATGGAATTTTGGGTCCCTATAGAAGATAACATTACTATTCTAAGCTAATTTTATGATAATTTTCAATATTGCCGATGTGATTTGTTTCCCCCTGGTAGAAATGCACACCCTCAGTCCTGAAAAGCAAAGTAAGAAGGGAAATGAAATTGAAAGCAAAGGCAAGATAAGGCTAGGGTAGGAGTTGAGCATTATTAAAAAGGAAGATGTGGAAGAGAAGAGGAAAAAATACCTGATTAATAATGGAATCTTGTTATCAACAATTGGGTATTACTAGGTTACCAAAAAAAATTGGATTTTTTACTATAGTAAAGGATTTGTAGGAAGGTATTGTCATTGGTCATATTTTAGTTTTAAGTGGTTATGCTGCTGTTCTTGTAATGCATGATTTCACACTAGCCATTCCTTTTAAGTAAATATGTGATTGCTTTAGGAGTCAGATTTAAATTAACTTCGGTTAATTTCAGTGTTTGATAGTTAAGAAATGGAGTTCAGAATCCTTGTTTCTTTTCCTTTGTTGTACCACTCCACAAACCATTTATGGCCAGTGAGGATAACAGATAAAAAAATTTTTAAAAAAATAAATGAAATATTTGTTGATTGAATAGCAGCAGAAACTGAACAGTTGCCTTTTGGGGGGACCATATTATGTTTCTTTCATAGAGAAATATGCTTCCCAGTGGTATTTTTGTGCTGTCTGATTCAGTGACAGTTCCATGAAATCTTGCTTATAACACCAGTTGAAATGTGAAGTTAACTGTGTTATCTGAAAGGACAGCACCATCAGATCTACCGATTAAGAATCCTACTTTCCTTATTAGCCAAAGCTAGTTTAGAAAAGTGATACCTGTGCATTTACTAATGGCATCCTTTCATCTCCCTATTTCAGTTCTTCCTTTTGTTATCTTAAATATCATCTGCATTCATGTTTGGCTGCCATAAATACCAAACCTTCAAAAGAAGAAGTTTAATATTATATATGTGAGTTAGAGTAGAAAATGTCTAAATACCTGAATGCAGTACTGTAATTATGTTTTTATAGGTGCAAAGGTGCTCTCTGATAGAGGTATGCATTTTGCATTTTAAAAGATTAATTATATAGGAGATCCAGTTTGATATAAATATTTATAAATATTATATTCAAGGCAGTGTTCAAAGACACCTTTTTATTGAGCAATAACAATTCATTGCTTTAAAACAAATTGAATTTACCAAGTCAGATCAATTCTTGCATTAGAAAGATTTTGCTACATACTAAAAGTCCAGGAAGACGTAGGTAATAATGAGAGAAATTCTGAACTTGATCCATGTGGGTCTGTGTAGCCACTGTGTTTTGTTGAGAAAAACTTGTGGCTCCTGTGAGACTGTATGATATTCATGAGGTGGGAAGAGGCATTTCAACATTTTGTTGTTAAATACAGTATTAATTTTTTTTTCATAAGTGGGACAGAATGGTTTAAGATCTTGTGTTTTGTCCTTCATAGTTTTATACATATATAGCAATACTACTTGATTCAACAGGCTGCTGAGCTTCGAGCTTACCTGAAATCTAAAGGAGCTGAAATTTCAGAAGAGAACTCAGAAGGTGGACTTCATGTAGATTTAGCGCAAATTATTGAAGCCTGTGATGTATGCCTGAAAGATGATGATAAAGGTTTGTTTTAAATTTTTTGTAATATTTCTTAATATTCTTAAAGGACCTACTTTAAATATTTCTTGTAAATTATATTTATTTTGCTTCAGATCTTAGAACTTACAAGCTCTGTTTTTAATCTTACCTTTGCACATACTTTCAGTTTATTCTAATCTATTATACCTATGAAGTAAGCCTGTTTTGAGAAAGCATCTTTTTTATATCAGGTATGTTTTCTGAGTGTTTTGCACACCCAAATTTTCAGGGTTTGCTTTTTAGTACGCATAGCTAATACGTCTCATTTTTCCCATAACAGAAGTTGAACTTTATTTGGTGGGAGTTCAGCTGAACATGAAATGATCTAATTTTGCAAAACTGGAAACTGTTCTCTAAAGTGTCGTCATTTTGCATTTTTCTGCTAATCCGTTAACATGGAATTTTGGGTCCCTATAGAAGATAACATTACTATTCTAAGCTAATTTTATGATAATTTTCAATATTGCCGATGTGATTTGTTTCCCCCTGGTAGAAATGCACACCCTCAGTCCTGAAAAGCAAAGTAAGAAGGGAAATGAAATTGAAAGCAAAGGCAAGATAAGGCTAGGGTAGGAGTTGAGCATTATTAAAAAGGAAGATGTGGAAGAGAAGAGGAAAAAATACCTGATTAATAATGGAATCTTGTTATCAACAATTGGGTATTACTAGGTTACCAAAAAAAATTGGATTTTTTACTATAGTAAAGGATTTGTAGGAAGGTATTGTCATTGGTCATATTTTAGTTTTAAGTGGTTATGCTGCTGTTCTTGTAATGCATGATTTCACACTAGCCATTCCTTTTAAGTAAATATGTGATTGCTTTAGGAGTCAGATTTAAATTAACTTCGGTTAATTTCAGTGTTTGATAGTTAAGAAATGGAGTTCAGAATCCTTGTTTCTTTTCCTTTGTTGTACCACTCCACAAACCATTTATGGCCAGTGAGGATAACAGATAAAAAAATTTTTAAAAAAATAAATGAAATATTTGTTGATTGAATAGCAGCAGAAACTGAACAGTTGCCTTTTGGGGGGACCATATTATGTTTCTTTCATAGAGAAATATGCTTCCCAGTGGTATTTTTGTGCTGTCTGATTCAGTGACAGTTCCATGAAATCTTGCTTATAACACCAGTTGAAATGTGAAGTTAACTGTGTTATCTGAAAGGACAGCACCATCAGATCTACCGATTAAGAATCCTACTTTCCTTATTAGCCAAAGCTAGTTTAGAAAAGTGATACCTGTGCATTTACTAATGGCATCCTTTCATCTCCCTATTTCAGTTCTTCCTTTTGTTATCTTAAATATCATCTGCATTCATGTTTGGCTGCCATAAATACCAAACCTTCAAAAGAAGAAGTTTAATATTATATATGTGAGTTAGAGTAGAAAATGTCTAAATACCTGAATGCAGTACTGTAATTATGTTTTTATAGGTGCAAAGGTGCTCTCTGATAGAGGTATGCATTTTGCATTTTAAAAGATTAATTATATAGGAGATCCAGTTTGATATAAATATTTATAAATATTATATTCAAGGCAGTGTTCAAAGACACCTTTTTATTGAGCAATAACAATTCATTGCTTTAAAACAAATTGAATTTACCAAGTCAGATCAATTCTTGCATTAGAAAGATTTTGCTACATACTAAAAGTCCAGGAAGACGTAGGTAATAATGAGAGAAATTCTGAACTTGATCCATGTGGGTCTGTGTAGCCACTGTGTTTTGTTGAGAAAAACTTGTGGCTCCTGTGAGACTGTATGATATTCATGAGGTGGGAAGAGGCATTTCAACATTTTGTTGTTAAATACAGTATTAATTTTTTTTTTCATAAGTGGGACAGAATGGTTTAAGATCTTGTGTTTTGTCCTTCATAGTTTTATACATATATAGCAATACTACTTGATTCAACAGGCTGCTGAGCTTCGAGCTTACCTGAAATCTAAAGGAGCTGAAATTTCAGAAGAGAACTCAGAAGGTGGACTTCATGTAGATTTAGCGCAAATTATTGAAGCCTGTGATGTATGCCTGAAAGATGATGATAAAGGTTTGTTTTAAATTTTTTGTAATATTTCTTAATATTCTTAAAGGACCTACTTTAAATATTTCTTGTAAATTATATTTATTTTGCTTCAGATCTTAGAACTTACAAGCTCTGTTTTTAATCTTACCTTTGCACATACTTTCAGTTTATTCTAATCTATTATACCTATGAAGTAAGCCTGTTTTGAGAAAGCATCTTTTTTATATCAGGTATGTTTTCTGAGTGTTTTGCACACCCAAATACTGATAATTTCAGAGTGAACTGAAGAAAAAAATGGAACTTTTCATAAGATTTAGATTATTATCAAATGGGATATAATTTCAAGAAATCAAGTCATTTAATTATTTTGCTGATTCCCTATTGAGATAAAATGAGAGTCCTTAAATCTCTAGTTAAAGTTTGAGATTAAAATTGGCATGTGATTAATATCTTACACTTGAAAATCACTGACCCAACCAGAATATTGATAGCTTTCATATTTATATAATTTTCTATCTGTATCTACAAAGTTTTTTTCAATTGGGAAAGCATCCTAGTTTAAGATTTAACTAGTAATTTCCAAAATGATTAAACTATCTTGCCAGTAAAAATTGAAAGCGTAAATATAAATATGTAAATCATTCTTTTTTTTTTACTGGTTGAAAACCAAATTTAGGTAATATTTCCTCCACTAATAAAATGTACACTTTGCTTTCAGAATGTTAGCTATACAACAGATCTGGTTTATTTTGAATTCTTGTATGCTGTATTTTTAATATAAAGCACACTGCTGAAAGAAAAGCGTCCTCTAGAACTGTTTTACAGTAATAGCCAGCTTATGTCTTTTTAAAGTATCTTATGTTTAATGGTCTTTGGTGTATTAAAACACTAAAAATACATACTTAGACACAATAAGTATTAAATATCACTGTTGTGTTACCCATATGTGTGTAGATGTTGAAAGTGTGATGAACAGTGTGGTGTCCCTCCTATTGATTCTGGAACCAGATAAGCAAGAAGCTCTGATTGAAAGCCTGTGTGAAAAGCTTGTCAAATTTCGGGAAGGTGAACGCCCATCACTGAGACTGCAATTGTAAGTTAACTGAGAGAAGTTCAGTTTTTAAAGGTGCTCTAATCATGTTACTGTTATTTAATGATTAAAAGCAAGAATTCTTCAACTTGACAGTCAGTTGTGGCTCTTATTAACTATCTGACATTAGACAAGTCACTTAACCTTTATGTACTACAGTTCCCTCCTTGTAATCTGAAGTTTTGTTGGTTGGTTTTGGAGGGGAATTGGTATAATAGTTTCAGGTGTTTATCCTGTACAACATAGTGATTCAGCATTTATATACTTTACAAAATGCCCACCATGAAGAGTGTAGATATCATCTGTCACCATACCAAGTTACTGAAACACTGTTGACTATATTTCATCCCAGTGATGCATTATTTTGTAACTAGATGCTTGTACCTCTTAATTCTATTCAATTATTTCACCTATGTAATAGGTGTAACCTGTGCTTACATTCTGTTCCCCTCTAGCAGCCACCAGTGTCCTGAATTTATGGGTCTTTTTCTGTATTGTTTATTTGTTGGTTTGTTTTTTAGATTCCACATACAAATGAAATCAAATGGTATTTGTCTTTCTCTGACTTAATTTCACTTTGCATAATATTCCTTAGGTCCGTGTTATTGCATATGGCAACAACAGAGGATTTCACTCTCTTATGACTGAGTAGTATTCCATCCATACACTGCATCTTTTGTATCTGTTCGTCTATTGCTGGACAGTTAGATTGCTTCCACACTTCGCTATTGTAAATAATGCATCAGTAGTCTCATATGGGTGCGTGTATCTTTTTGAAACAGTGTTTTTGTCTTCTTCAGATAAATACTCAGAAGTGGAGTTGCTGGATCGTAGAGTAGTTTTATTTTTTGAGGATCCTCCATACTGTTTTCCATAGTGGCTGCATCAGTTTACATTCCCACTAACAGTCACAAGGGTTCCCTTGCTCCACACTTTTGCCAACACTTATTTCTTGTCTTTTTGATAATAGCCATTCTGACTGGTGTGAGGTGAGATCTCATTGTGATTTTGATTTGCATTTCCCTGATGATAAGTGACACTGAGCATCATGTGTTTGTTAGCCGTTTGTATGTCTTCTGTGGGAAAATGTTCTGTTTTCTGACCATTTTTTAAATTGAATTATTTGGGGTTTTCTCTACTGAGTTTTATGAGTCCTCTATGTATTTTGGGTACCAACCGCTTATCAAACATGTAATTTGTGAATATATTCTCGCACTCAGTAGGTTGCCTGTTCATTGATGGTTTACTTTGCTATGCAGAAGTTTTTCAGTTTGGTGTAGACCTGCATGTTTGTTTTTGTTTTTGTTTTTTTTGTCTGGAGAGACATCCCCCCCAAAATGCTTAAGCTCATGTCCCAGAGGTTACAGCCTACATTTTTTCCTAGGAGATGTATGGTTTCAGGTTTTACAGTTAGATCTTTAATCCATTTCAAGTTTTTGTATATGGTGTAATAAAGTGTTCCCATTTCATTCTTCTATTTGTAACTGCTGATTTTCCCAACAAAATTTATTGAAGAGACTGTCCTTTTCCCACTGTATACTCTTGCCTCCTTTGTCATAGATTAACCATATAAGCATGGGTTTATTTCTGGGCTCTCTGTTTAGTTCCATTGATCTGTGTGTCTATTTTTGTGCTGATACCATACTGTTTTGATTATAGCTTTAAGGTATCAGGGAGCATGATACCTCTGACTTTGTTCTTTGCTTTCAGGATCACTTTGGCTGTTCAGTGTCATTTGTGGTTCCAAACACATTTTTAGAATTATTTGATCTAGTTCTATAAAAAATGCTATTGGTATTTTGCTAGGAATTGCATTAAATCTGTAAATTGCTTTGGACAGTATTGCATTTGTACAATAGTCATTCTTCCACTCCATGAAGATGGCATATCTTTTCATTTCATTTATTCAGTTTATCAGTCAGTGTCTTACAGTTTCTTGAGTATAGCATTTCACCTCCTTGGTTAAATTTACTCCTTGATACTGTATTCTTTTTTGATGCAATTGTAAATAAGATTGTTTTCTTGAGTTCTCCTTTTGCTAGTTTATTATTAGCATATAGAAATGCAGCAGGTTTCCATATATTGACTTTGTATCATGGGACTTTACTGAATTCATTTATCCTAACATTTTTGGTGGATTCTTTATGGTTTTCTATATGTAGTATGTCATCTGCAAATAGTGACAGTTATACTTCTTTCTTACCAAATTAGGTGCCTTCTATTTCTTTTTCTTGTCAGTTGTTGTGTTTAGGGCTTACAGTACTGTGTTACTCACAGTGTTGAGAGTGGGCATCATTGTTCAGTTCCTGACCTTAGAGGAAAAGCTTCAGGTTTTTGCTACTGAGTTTGATGTTAGTTGTGGTTTTGTCATATATGATCTTTATTATGTTCCCTCTGTGTACCACCTTTGTTGAGAGTTTTTATCATGAATGGATGCTGAATTTTGTCAGATACTTTTTCAGCATCTATTGAGATGATCATTAGATTTTTATCCTTTTGTTAATGTGGTGTGTCACATTGTTTGATTTGTGGATATTGTAGTCCTTGAATCCTGGAATAAATCCCACTTGATTGTGGTGAATGATCCTTTTAATGTATTTTTTTAAATTAGGTTTGCTAGGTTGTTTTGTTTTGTTTAAGTATTTTATATCTGTGTTCATCAGGAATACTGGTATCTAATTTCTGTTGTTGTTGTTGGCTGTCGAGTTTGGATATCAGGGCAATGCTGGCCTTGTATGCTGAGTTTGGAAGCATTCCTTCCTCTTCTGTTTTTTGGAATAGTTTGAAAAGGATAGGTATTAGCTCTTTTATAAATGTATGGTAGAATTGAGCTGTAAAGCCATCTGGTATTGGACTTTTGTCTGTTGGGAGTTTTTGATTACTGATTCAATTTCATTTACTAGTAATTGTTCTGTTCAGATTTTCTATTCCTGATTCAGTCTTTGGAAGTTTGTATTTTTTTAGGAATTTACCCATTTCTTTTAGGTTGTCCAGTTTGTTAGCCTATTCCATAGAATTCTATTAAAATCCTTTGAATTTCTGTGGTGTCAGTTGCAATCTCTTTTATTTCTGATTTTATTTTTTGAATAAAAAATTTAAAAAAAATTTTTTTCTTGATGAGCCTCTAAAGATTTAGCAGTTCTGTTTATCTTTTCAAAGAACCAGCACTTGATTTCATTCAGTTTTTTTTTTTCCTATTGTTTTTAGTCTATTTTAATTCTGCTCTGGTCTTTGTTATGTCCCTCCTGCTAACTTTGGCCCTTTTTTTGTTCATTGTCTATTCATTTACTATTCATACAGTGCAGTCAGACTCTTGAGATTGTTCTTGTTTCTTGAGATAGGCCTTTATCACTCTCAGCTTGCCTCTTAAAACTGTTTTTGCTGTGTCCCATTGATTTTGAACTGTTGTATTTCTGTTTTTGTTTTTCTCCATGCATTTAAAATTTTCTTCATTTTTTGACCCATTGGTTGTTTACAATCACATTGTTCAACCTCCATGTGCTTGTGTTTTCCAGTTTTTTTCCTTGTGATTGATTTTTAGATTCATACTGTTGTGATAGGAAAAGATGCTTGATATGATTTCAGTCTTAAATTTACTGAGACTTGTTTTGTGGTCTAACACGTGACCTATCCTAGAGAATGTTTCGTGTGCAGTTGAATGTGTATTGTGCTGATTCTGGTTGGAGGAGGTCCATCTGGTGTAATGTGGTGTTCAACAGTTGTTTCTTACTGATTTATCTATCCATTGATGTAAGTGGGGTGTTAAAGTTCTCTATTATTATATTGCTGTCTGTTTCTCCTTATGTCTATTAATAATTTGCTTTATATATTTAGGTCCTCCTGTGCTGGGTGCATATTTACAGTTGTATCCTCTTGATGGAGAACTTTGTCATTGTCATGTCCTTCTTTGTCACTTGTTACAGTCTTTGTTTTGAAGTCTATTTTGCTGAAATAAGTATTGCTACTCCAGGTTTTTTTTTTTTTCATTTGCATGGAATATCTTTCCATTCTTTCACTTTCAGTCTTATGTTTAGTCTAGGGAGCATATAGATAGATGGGTGTTGTTTTTGTATACATTCAGCCACCCTACATCTTTTGATTGGCACATTTAGTTTGTTTACATTTAAAGGAATTATTAATATGTACTTACTCCCATTTTGTTAATTGTTTTCTGGTTTTCTTTGTTCTGTTCTCTTCCTTTGTTATTTGATAACTTAGAGTTATGCATGGATTCCTTTCTCTTTAGTTTTTATGTTATCTCATAGGTTTTTGGTTTATGATTACCATGAGATTGATATATAATATTCCGTGTGTGTGTGTGTGTGTGTGTGTGTGTGTGTGTGTGTGTGCATGTGTGCAGAAGATAGAGAGGTATAGGTATGTATATCAGTTTATATTAGGTTGACAGTTGCGTAAGTTTGAACACATTCTAAAAGCACTACTTTTTATTCCCCCCTCTGTGTTTTATCTATTTATCATAAATTACATCATTTTATTTTGTATATTTCTTGTCTTTTTGTGTATAGAATTGAGTTTGCTACTTTTACCTTTTTAACCTTCAGACTAGCTGTTAAGCAATTTGACCCACTCCCTCTGCTATCTGGCTTTTACAAGTGAATTTTCCTTTTATATTTTTCTTTCTTCTAGTTAGGGTGTTTTTCTCTTTAAAAAGTGCCTTTAATATTTCTTGTAAGCCTGAACTAGTGGTGGTGAATCTTTTAACTTAGGTTTATCTGGGAAGCTCTTTATCTCCCCTTCCATTCTGAATGGTAGTAACCTTGCTGTGTAAGCTGAAAACCTTGGTTGGAGGTTTTTTTCCTTTCAGCACTTTATAATATACCATGCCACTCCCTTCTGGCCTGTGAAGTGCTCAAAAATCAGCTAATTGCTGTAGTATTTCCCTTGCACATAACTCTCTACTTCTTTTTCTTGCTGCTTTTGAGATTCTCTCATCTTTAGTCTTTGCCATTTTAATTGCTGTTTTTCTTTATGTGGACCTCCTTTGTGGGTTGATCATGTTTGGGGCTCTCTCTGGGAGTTCTGGACCTAGATGTCTCTTTCCCCAGATTTGGGAAGTTTTCAGCTATTACTTCTTTAAATAGGTTTTCTGTCCCTTTCTCTTTTTTTCCTTCTGAGATTTCTATTATGCTAACATTATTTCATTTGAAGGCATTGCAAAGATCTCTCAGCATCATCTCATTCTTTAAAATGTTTTTTTCTTTCTGCTCTTTAATTTGGTGGCTTCCCATCATCCTTGATGATCTGTTCTGCATCCTCTGATCTGCAGTTGAGTCCCTGTGGTGTATTTTTCATTTCAGTTATTGTGTTCTTCAGCTCTAACTGGTTCTTTTTGTGTTTAACATCTTTTTGTTGAAGTTCTCCCTGAGTTCAGCCATTCTTCTCTTCAGTCCAGTGAACATTTTTATGACCATTACTTTGAATTCCTTATCAGGTAGATTGCTTATCTCTGTTTCATTTAGCAGTTTTTCTGGTGTTGACTTATTCTTTTGTTTGAAATATATTTGTTTCATTTTGTCTGGCACTGTTTTTTTCCTATGTATTAAGTAGGTAGGTTATGTCTCCTGGTCTTGAAAGTGGTGACATTATGTAATAGATGTGTGGAGCCCAGAAGGGCCATTCCCCTGGTAACAGTGACCCAGTACTCCAGGGATGTCCTCGTTGTGGGCTGTGGACACCCTCCTGTTGTGGCTGAGCTGCAGCTGCTGTGAGGGCTAGTGAATGAGGCTCGCTTTGCCTGCCTGTCAGCAGTGGCCAATGGACTTCTGCAGTTGTACTAGTTTGTAAGGCTCACTGCAGGTGCCAACTGGCTGAAAGGCTTGGCACAGCCCCTGTTGGGCTGGTGAGTGAGGCCAGCCCTCAGTCTAGCTGCCTCCAGTGGCCCACAGGACCTCTTCTAGCATGCTGGTGAGTGGGGCTAGCTCCTCTCCTCCCCAGGATAGTAGTCTGCTTTGGTGGTGCACCTGCAGAATGTGGCGTGTTGGATGGGGCATGTGAAAGGAGCAAGGGGAGCGAGGGAGTCATGCTGGCATGGTAGATGATGGAGAGTGTCAGAACTAGCTCCCACAACATCAGGCTAACTAAGCTGAGGGGAGAGCATGAAAAATGGCATCTGCTAGCTCCCTCCCCCAGAGAAAGTTCCCAGCAAATGCCTGCCCCTCTGGTATATGTTCTGAAGTTAATAAATCTTTCATAGTGCTGCTTCTGTGTTGGGTCTCAGACTGATCGACACAGCAGGCTAGCCCTCCAAGAATGAAGACAGGGCTCCCCACAGCCCTCCAGCTCTCCTAGAGTTAAGCCGTGCTGATTGTCAAAGCCAGGTGTTACGGGAGCTTGTCTTCCTGGTGCAGATCCCCAGGGCCAAGCATGTCAGGGGCAGAAAGCTTACACCCCACCCCTTTATACCTCACTCTCTCTGCTTATGGATTGGGATGGGGGAAGGGTTTAGATCCCAGTCAGTTGCAGCTCTCTCTCTTTTACTCTTCTCAATACGGCTGCCTTTTTGTCATTAGCTGTGGATGATCTGTTCTGCTGGTCTTTGCATTGTTTTCCAAGTAAGTTGTATTACATGTACTCACTGCCTTGCTGTGTACATAGGAGGAGGTTATCACAGTGACCTCTGATTCTGCCTTTCTAATGTGAAGTTATTAATAATACCTGTCTCAGGTTACTGATCTCAAACATTGTTTTATTATTTGTTAACCCAGGCTAAGCAACCTCTTCCATGGGATGGATAAGAATACTCCTGTAAGGTATACAGTATACTGTAGCCTCATTAAAGTAGCAGCATCTTGTGGGGCCATCCAGTATATTCCAACTGAGCTGGATCAAGTGAGTTATTATGTGGAGTACTTGTTCTGCTTATAAGAAGTGTTTTTGCATATAAAACTAAGCACACGTGTGTTCTAAATACTATCTTTTAAATTACAGAAATACTCAGCTTTGTCACTAAATTTCCTCCTTTGTCAATCTTTTCATAGGTTAGAAAATGGATTTCTGACTGGAACCTCACCACTGAGAAAAAACACACCCTTTTAAGGCTACTTTATGAGGCACTTGTGGATTGTAAGAAAAGGTATTTATAATTAATGTACTGTCTTAAAACTTACCAGGCAATGTAAGTAGTTGAGGCTGTTTTAAAGACAAGAAGGGTGAATGATTTGCTCTACTTTGCTCTCTATACAGTTGCTATAAATCTATTTGTAAATTTGACCTAAGTTAAAAATAACTGCAGAGTTTTTTAAAATAGTTTTTCCCTATCTTTAAACTTTTTAGACAACTTGCTTTTCTAAAAATGGTACAGCTGCTAATCCAAAACTGCATATAACTGTGGACTAAGTTATTTAATGGTGCTTTGATGTCTTTCTACAGGGTAGTGCTGTGACTTTTGTTTAATGGTGGCAAGGGTCTGTCAGTCAAAGTTTCTACAAAACCTTTTATATAAACAATGCCCCCGAGAGGAAACTTTGCAGTAGACTGTACTAAAGGAGTACCTATTTGGCTTCTGCAAGGTCCTGGGTTTCTAAGGCTTCTCTTCAGCCCAACAGACTCCATGCCCAAAATATTTAGTCTATATACATCCCAGTTTTAGGATGCTTACCAAACCATAGAGTCAGCCCAGTTTTTTGAATTAGTGTTGAAGGATAATAGTACCTTATTGACCTAGCATTTTAATGTCTTTTTACATAAGGTTACTTTTAGAAAACATATTCAATCTTCAGTTTAGTTTTAGTGCACAATTTGTATACTGGCTTTTAGTGTTAGAGTGTTTCATATATTAGGTTCAACAAGATTAATATGTTTCTATTACATTAATAAAATACAAGTTTTTTCAGACCATTTAAATTTAACAATTTAAGAAGAAATTATATTCTTGTGAAAAATGGGAAGTTTTATCATAAAAGAAGATAAGCAGGGGATCTTGCATTAATAGGCTATTTCATTCTGAATCAGGGGCTACCATGTCTTACATGCTGACACACTGTGGCAGCATTTCAGCCAGTTAGTAAAGTGTTAAAAGTAAGTAGTTTATAACAAATACCATTTCAAATGGGAGAGCAAAAAAGCTGTTGGAGACAGAATCCATAATTTAATCTACACTTTAAATAGGCAGGCTGTGGAGTCAGACTGCTGGGATTCAAATCTTAGCTTTCCTGCTTGTTGAATGACCTTAAATAAATAATCATCTCTGTACCTCAGTTTCCAACTTCAAAGTAGAAATAATTGTTTTATAGTGGTACTTAACCTCGTAGGGTTGTCAAAAAGATTATACAAGGTAATACACACAAAGTTATTAACACAAAGGCTTCATTACTGAGAAGGCACTCGGTAAATGTGGGATATTGTTATTCCTGTCACTATTATTTTCAGTTTTTCAAGTTCACTTTAAGAAGTGAAGTCTTGTCTGGTATAGTAATTTAAAATGAGGAGTGGTATGGTTTCCCACTGAATGTCTAGTGCTTATTACACATGATGGCCACTCACTGGATGATTTCTCTAATTGCTGTTTAGGAGACCTTAGTCTGTTATGTGTAAGAGGAAGTAACTGAAGTAATGTTCCAAAGAATTTTTTGAGAATGAGACATAGGACATATTCGTGCTCTATTAGACACATTCTCATGTTCATGTGTTAGAAAGCATCTGCAGCATTTGTCACAGGTGATCACTCTGGAAACACTTTTCTCCTTGTGGTTTCTTCTTGTCATTCACAACTCCTCACTTGTGGGTTCCTCCTTTATCTTCTCTAAACAGTAGAATAACTGAGTCCTGGGACTTTATCTGCCCTATTACATTCATTTACTGTGTGTGTTGTTCGTTGTATTTTGCTGAGATTATAGGGAAGACTGAATGCCAAATGCATTTTGGGTGGAACAGTTCTTTGTATTGCTAGATTAAGTTCATTAAAGGACACACAGCATCCCTGCCTGCCCTGCCCTTCTAAAATACCAGTAGTGCTTCCCAGTCATTAGAGCAACTACAACAGCTCCCATATCCTTCCAGCTCTGGAGGGCACCCAGTCGAGAGGCACTGACTGCCTGCTCAGTCATGCCTTTAAATACCATCAATATGCTGATGATTTTCAATTGTTTTTTTTTTTCCTGTATTCCTCCCCTGAACTCCAAATACTTCTGTTTGTTTCCATTCAGATACTCAAAAGGCATCTCAGACTTGACATCTACAAGTGAACCACTGATTTTTCATTCTAAATCTGTTCCTCCTTCAGTTTTCTCCCACTCAGGAAATGCCATTGCTGTGCTTCTAGTAGCTCAAAAACAAAACCTGGGAGTTGTCCTTGACTCCAGTCTTTCTCTTTTACTCCATATCTAATCCAGTAGCAAGTCTGCAGCTCTAATAAATTGAAAGTCAGACCACATTCTCACTACTGTCATTCTTATCAGGTGGTCTAAGCTGCCATCATTAGTTAGGTTATTGAAGTAGTCTCATAACCTGTTTTGGGGCTTTTCCCCCTGTAGTCTGTTCCTAAATGTAGTTGCCAGAATGTTCTGTTTAATATGGAAGATCATACTATGTCTCCGCTCTATTCAGTATTTTCCAGTGGTTTCATTCACAGTAAAAGGCAAAACCAGCTCCAGAGTCTTGGTACTGGCACTAATTCTCCCACGTATCTATGCAGCTTCCTCCATTCTTCACATATGCTCAGTTGTTACCTCACAGAAAGGTCTTCTCTGGCTGTCTATATGTGTAACAGTATCCCCAACTCTCCCCCTCCCTCCCCCACCTGCTCTTGCCTGTTTTCTTTATTGCACTTCCTAACTGGCATACGGTATTTTAATGTCTATTATCTATTTGTCCCCACTAGAATAAGTTTCACAAGGATAGGGACTTTGTTTTGTTCATTACTAAAAAGTGATACTCATAGGCACTCGGTATTATATTTGTTGTATGATTATTTCTAAAATACAGACATGCTGCAAAAGCAGTGGCTACAAAAGCAGGGCCGTGAGACAATATGAAGTGGTGGTTTATACAACTAGCGTGTATGCTCTTCCCAAAGGCATTCAGATTAAAATATTTTAAAACAATTCACAAACATAAGATCCCTGGCTTTCTCCCTATTTTCCTGATGTTGTGAAAATTAGTTTATTGAGTGTTGGACCCTTCATTTTTAAGAACAGACACAGGCCCTGTCTTCCTCGACCTTTCAGCAACCTGTGGCTATGCTCCCCCTCCTCCCTGAAGCTTACCTTGATTAGGTGACACTGCTTGTTTTATTCCATCCTGTGTGGCAGTTTATTCTGAGACACTTTTGTAAAGTACTCTCTCCCCTCCTTTAAATGTTGGTATTGCTTAAGATTGTGGCCTAGGACTTTTTCCTCATTCTGCTCCCTCTTCCTGGGTCATCTCATCTATTCCCATGGCTTCTATTATCTACTGAATGAAAATCCATGGCTGACCCAAGCTTCTCTTGGGAGCTTCAGATCTTTATGCCTAACTGCTTTCTACCTGTTCCTGCTTGGATGTGGCCCTAGGTGCCACAATTGCAACAAACATGATCAAAATGAATTTATCATTTCTCTCTCTAAAATAGTCTGTATGTTCCCAAGCAAGACATCTCAAAGTGATCTTTATTCTCTCCACTCTGCAACCACAATGATTTTGTGAAACAAAGATTTCAGGATATTATTCTTTAGGTTTTCATTTTCTTTAGGATACAGTGCAAAATTCTTAGGCACATTAGGCCATCCCAGCAAGGGCTCCTACCTGCTGTGTAACAAGCCTGGGCTTGGTGAATGTGATGGTAACCTCCTTGCCGTATTTGTGTGGTGTATTGACAAAATACAAACGCTTTGCTGTGTTTACCTGGATACTCCATCTCTCCCTGTCTTTTGCTCTCATACACGTAACCACCCCACACTCTTCCTCTTGGTTATTACACTCTAGACACAGTGAACCTGTATCAGCTATAAAAGCACTGTGCTCTTTCCCAGTCTGGACCAGGAGCTGGTACCAGTTTGTCTCACAAGCTAAATAAGGTTTTTATGTTTTTGAAATGATTAAAGAAAACCAAAGAAATTGTATTTCATGATAGGTAAACATAAGAAATTCATAATATCCACAAAATTTTGTTGGAACACAGCCATGCTTACTCTTTGGCGTATTGTCTATGGCTGCTTTTGCTAAGACTTGAGTCTTAGAGACCATATGGCCTGCAAAGCCTAAAATATTTACTCTCTGGCCCTTCACAGAAAGTTTGCATACCCTTGTTCTTAACCTACACTCAACTTGATTTCTCTGCCTAGAATACCCCTCTCCTATTTAAGTTAGATGCCTCTCTTCTATAGCACCCTCTCCTTTTATCATAGCACTTAACACTCTTTGTTAAAAGGTTTGTGAGGTGGTAGGCTCAACCATTGTATTCCCAAGGTGTCTGGCACATAATGGGCCCTCAGTAGATAAATGCTGATCATGCTAGGGACCTAAAAGAGAATGGTTATTTAAACACTAAATTTCTGTCAAACTGTGATTTAAATTTTAAGACTTGGTTTTTGCTCAGTACATATAAAATCATATACATAATTTTAAGAACAATACAATTGGAAGAATATCTTTGGTAGAGTTATTTTAAATATTTGGTGTTGGCTCAACTTCAGCCACACTGTCCTAACAATTTCTAGGACATGAAACTTTTTTTCCACCTAGGGCCTTTATACTGGGTCATCCCTCTGCCTGGAAAGTCATCCAGCCCCACTTTCCACCTCCAGCGCTTTTCATGGCCTATTGTCATATATCCTTTAGATCTCAGCTTACATGTCATTCCTTCAGAAAGAGACTTGCCCTGCTCATTCTTTACAAAGTAGCCACCTCTTTCCTGTCACTGCTTGTTGCTCAGTTACATCACAATCTTCTTCATGGTACTTACTTACTGTCATTTTCCTCAATTGTCCTACTAGAAGGAAAGTTCAATGACTTTTCCCATAGAGAGGAATCTGTTTCTTCTCACCATTGTATTATCATCAGCATAATACTCGGCACGTGGTATGTATTTTTGAATGAGTGAGTGACAATGGTACTCTAAAATTCCTAAAGCAGTATTTCTTTTTAGTGATGCTGCTTCAAAAGTGATGGTGGAATTGCTGGGAAGTTACACAGAGGACAATGCTTCCCAGGCTCGAGTTGATGCCCACAGGTAATATTAAACACATTGTTCTGATGTGATGGGTATCAGCAGCTAAATGTGAGCTACATATTCAGTCATACAACTGATGTCATGTTTGCATCCACCAGTGATACAGAACCATTCGATACTGTGTGCTCGGTGATGATTCTGATGTAGGGACTCACATTCAAGATTCGATGTTGGAAGAACTAGACTGCATGGGAAATGCCACATGCTGTTTGCTGTTCAGGGTGTTGCTGGTATGGGGGTTATAATCCCATACTAAGAAGTAGAACCTAGCCTTGGGTTGATTTTACCTCAATATTAAGGGATATAGATGAGGAAAACTTGGTGACTTAAAAAAAATCGGTCAACTGCTAATGAGAATAAGGGCTCACAGTCCTAAGTCTGCTTAGTAGCAATAAGAATAGAAAGAGTTTTTTAAATACTGTGAAATGGAAATATGGTGACTTCGTTATTAGTGTTATTGCTTCACAGAGACACATACATGATAGGTGTTGATTAAAAACGTAGTTAGTGGAAAAAATGTTTAAAGACGGACTGTCTGCAAGCAAATACTCCACCACTTAATTGGAACTTACTGGGCAAGCTCTTTCTGAGGCTGTATTATCATTAAAATGGGCATAATACTGTATGTCTCGCAGGGTGGTGTGAGAATTAGATGAGATAATGCATGTAAAGCACTTACCTTAGTATCTGGTATATGGGAAAATGCTGCTGTTTTATTTATTCTCTGATGATTTTGGTGGTGCTTTCTCTCCAGTGATGTTTTGGTCTGCAACTGTTTTATTATCATCTCATAGATTTATTGACTATTTTAAGCCCAGTCTTGTAGTTTTTCTTACATTGGGTATATTGAACTCAGACACTCTACTGAAGTAAATATATTTTGCAGTCTACAAAAAATCAGTGAAAAGTTATCTGAATTTCAGGACTCTGAGCTTGGATTTTTGTTTTCTAATTAAGGTGTATTGTACGTGCTTTGAAAGATCCAAATGCATTTCTTTTTGACCATCTTCTTACTTTAAAACCAGTCAAGTTTTTGGAAGGGGAGCTTATTCATGATGTAAGTAGTTATCCTTAATGTGGAAAATGTTCTTTTCCTAAATCTAACATACTGAGCCAGACTCTTTTTCTTTGTGTTAGTGAACATGAATATTAGATCTGGAAAAAGAACTATTATTTTTATATCAGGATCAAATTTAGGACCAGCTTTTCTGCAACCACTGAACATACACCTTTCTTCCTTTCCTTCATCTTTCTCATTTGCCTGGCCGTTACGAACTTAGATAATACAAATTTCTTTTTTAGTATATAGTGTCAGCTAGCCCCAGTTGGGAAGATAAATCTGATATTAAAACATATGAACACACTTTTCAAGTGCAAGTATAATTATATTTTGGATTATTTTCCATTTGTACTATGTCATTAACATCATCTTTTGGAGTAGATCATTTAGAGCTCACTCTATTTACTGATTCTTTCATCTTAAGTCTTAATGAAAGCAACTGGGCTTAGATCATAATTTGATCAGACAGATTGAAGTTTTTGCATGGAAAGAAATATAGAGCATTTTATTGCTGGGAGTTAGTGTCTTAAAAACATCTTGAGTATAATCTTGATTCTATATTGAATAATTATATTTTTTATTATCTTATAGCTTTTAACCATTTTTGTGAGTGCTAAATTGGCATCATATGTCAAATTTTATCAGAACAACAAAGACTTCATTGATTCACTTGGTAAGTTTTGGGGTTTAATTTTTGGATGGGTAGAGAGAGATGGGAACATGCTATTCTAAACTATTGTGTACTGTGAGATCCAGCAAATAAGATTGTAGTCTTATGGGTAGAATACCCTAACCACTGATGTATGATGTAATAGCAACATTCATAGGTAGACAGTTTAAAAGAGTACTCAGTGTGAATTGGGAATCAGAAACCAAGGAGGTACAGGAGGTAGCTTTTGTGATGGAAAGAGCATGAAACTAGTAGTTGGGAAACCTGAACCATTCTATAAGAGCTTGTTGGATTTTCTGCCCTTCAAGCTCTATACCATGATTCTCTGAGGCAAAGTACTACAGGAAGTGAATGCTTAGAGGAGATTCAGATGGAAATAATTTCACTGATACATGTGTTTTTAAAATTTTGGAATGGGGAATGGAGCAGAAAAGGAACTTAAAGAATCACCACTACTATATGTTCATGTGGTGACTTTTAGAAGTACTCATTTTAAGAGCTGACAAAATCCGATGATTAAAGGTACTTTACCAAACTGAGCATTATTGTTCAAAATAGAAGTCTCTTTTTGTAAAGGACGTTACTCCTTAGCTAGTTATGTATTTTGGGTCTTTTTTTTTCTTATTAAACAGTCACAGAATTGTTACAGCAGTACGATTTTTTTCCCTGTAATATAGCATTTTATGCCTGCTGCACTGCCCCCCCCAACCACAATTAAAAAATAACACATAAAGTGGGGGGGAGCTCAGGGAAGGCAGTATAGCACAGAGAAGACAAGTAGTGACTGCATAGCATCTTACTACGTTGATGGACAGTGATTCTAATGGGGTATGTGGTGGGGACTTGATAATGGGGGGACTCCAGTAACCACAATGTTGCCCATGTGATTTTATATTAATGATACCAAAATTTTAAAAAATTATAGAAGTTTACAGTGTTGCCAAGCAGATCTAAGTAAAGCTATAGATGAAATTAGAAAAACTTTCCTAACAGCAGTTTGTTGATGACAGCAGTCTTAGCTTTATGATTTTTATCTTCTGACTTTTCTTTCTAGAGCATCAGTAAATGTTTGCCAGATCAAACCGAATCCAGCTTAACCTCACTGAGGAAGCAAACTTTAAATTGTTTTAATAAAGCTACCAGTTTAGTGAGAGACAAAGCAACTATGAAATTACAGTGCTTTGTTTTCTTACTAGACAGTATCAAAATACATTAGAAATTGGTTATATTTTCCGTATTAAAATTGAATTGTTAGTGTTCCTGGCTTGAGATGTAGATGAAGAATACATTTATAACCTATTTTGACGATACTATTAGTCCTCAATCTGGTAATCATTAATTCCTGTCACCTGTAAATTTTGTGTCGTCATTGGAGTTGGGGAAGATTGAGTTATCATGAATATAATAAGACATTTGAAATAGCACCAAGATAAAGTGGGTGCAAGTATGTTTGTGTAAAATGCTTTGCCAGGTGCACTAGACCCAGAAAACCACATTCTGTCCCAGTTAATTTGTTTTGTGGCATGAAGCTATGTGATGGAATGTTAATGTCAGCAACCTCTTTATTTACGCACCAAGGAAAAAGGAGTAGTAATTAACACTTTGACACTCCCCCATTGATGTGTAATTGACTGTTTCAAAGGAGCACTGGTTCATAAGCTATTGCATGCATTAAAATTACGTTTTCTATATTGCAGCATTTTAAGCCAGGGGTCAGTGACAATGCAGAAATTGCTCAATGATGCACATTTTTTTATTACTGCATTAAGGTTTTGACATATTAGTAATGAATAAATGTTTCCATAAAATTAGATTTTTTTATAACTTTAAAATTGAAATATGACACAGAACACTGTGACTTCCACTTTAAAGGTAATGTTCTAGTTTCATGAGACAAAGCATTGCTTCCTACAAGTCTTTTAACTTCACTAGCTTAATACTTTGATCTTGAGAACAGGAGTCCTAAAGGCTTTAAGTTTGTTTCTTTTTTTTGTTTTAAAGTAGTGACTATAAACATCAATTTGAAATTTTGTTAAACACTGGTTTCCATATGTAAGACAGATAATGGTTTTCCATTTGTTTTATTTTAAAATAATTCATTCTACAATCATCATTCCTTTGATGTTTTTTAATATATAAGCTTATAATTGCACAAAAAATAGTAAAATAAATTTAATTTCAAGAAAATTTAAATTATATCAGAAATTTTAGGAGTTTCTATCACTTCATCATATTAGAAGAGAATTGTATATGCCCACAGTACTGGGAATGTTAAGGAATTTTCTTGTATTTGTCAATATTGAGAAAAATCTGGCATTTGTTCTCTGCGATAGGAAAAACAGTAACATTTCTAATTTATTGTGCCAACTGGAAGTAAAATTCACTATTATGCCTTTTGTTTCTTAAACATTATGCAGATTAGCTGTCTTTATTAGACATTCTAAAAGATGCTTTGAGGAAAACATTTAAATGTATGTTTTTGTATAATTAGGTATATAATTAGTAAACATTTTTATAGCTGAAAGTCTCATTACAAATGTTTGGATTCCACAGGTGGTATCAGTCTATCAAAACACTGTTTTATTAACACTGACAACTTGGGCCAACATAGCATTATCTTGTGTCAACTGAATTGCCCTAACATGTCCACATGTAATCTGGTGTTAGTCAGTTGCTACCTTTTTGCTTCAGAAAGTTAATCAACATCTAATTTGCATTTGTTAATTAGGGTTAATGTGCACTAATTGATTTTTTGATGCTTGTAGATTTCCATTAAACCCAGTTAGCAATACTTATTCATTTGAGTTATGATGAGCATGTTTTTGTTGAATCTCTGCCAAATAGGAAGCCTGTATCATAATTACAACTAATTAACAGACAGTTGTGCCCTATATTGATGGGCTTCCCTAGTCTTCTGCTAATATATGAATGTTATAAATTTCAAATTTATTTATGGAGTGCTTGGAACTTTTTTTTAACAATACAAACTTGAGGCTCTTAATTATTAGAGGGTATATCACTTATTTGGTGAGTTTACATAATTTGCAAGTTCAGAGGAAAGGAACATGTAATTCTAAATTTTAGAAATTTTATGATCAAGCATCAAATCAAGTATATATGATATGGTGTTATAATTCAGCTTCTACTTAGGAGTAAGTATGTTCAGGAGTTTTAAGTATTCGATTTCTAGTCGTTTATTTTAGAACTGCTACTTTGTGACTGTAAGTCATTTAATCTCTTTGCTCCTGAACTTTACTGTTTTTTAAAGGGAAAGGCTCAGGACTAGGTAATTTGTTAAGTTTCCTTTTAGGTCTAACAATGGTTTTGATCTAAATAATTGTTAACAGGCAGATTTTGAGTTATTTGTAGGGTTTTGCTTTTGCTTTATAATGAACAAGTGTCACTGTTAATAGTACTGTTTAATTTTTTCTAGTACTAATCATTTTAGCCTATAAATGTGAAATGATAAACACACTTGCAATTTTGACTTCTAAAAAAGTATTAAATCCAAAGTGACTTGGATTTAACAGCCAAAGTGACTTGAAGGAAAACAGATGTTTTCATAACTGGATGTATACGAAAATATTTTAAGACTTCATGTTTACCAGCAATACAGACACAGAACAAACAGTCGATAAAGAATCCTGTGTTTAAATGAAGAGCTATTAGTAAAAAATAAGCTTAAGTAATTCAATTAAGTGAAAATACTCTTAGGAAATGTTTTTTGTACACCTGTATCCTGTATAAAACATGTGAAATGTACACAATTTTCAGGGCCTATCACCTTTGGCACTCTTAACAAAGAAACGTTCTAGAAAATGATTTTAAATGCTCCATAATTTAACTGTGGGGTCAGTTTTATGGTTTGCAAGTGTAAGAAGCATTAAGAGATCAAATACAATGATTTCCGCAGTTTCACACAAGAGTTGCTACTGTGCAGATCTTTGGTTAGTGTGATACTCACCAGGCATCATTACTGTGTTACTCAGGCCTGGTACATGAGCAGAATATGGCAAAAATGAGACTGCTTACTTTTATGGGGATGGCCGTGGAAAATAAAGAAATTACTTTTGACACAATGCAACAAGAACTTCAGATTGGAGCTGATGATGTTGAAGCATTTGTTATTGATGGTAAGACAGAAACATTTTCATTTTTCTTCTAGAATTTCTCTTCTGCATGGAACATAAGATTTTTAATCCTGAAACAGCCTTATGCTAATAATTCTAGATTATTTTATAGATATATATCTTTAGTAGATGAGCAGATACTTCTAGTGAAAATTCATTGGAAATAATAAGTTGCTATGTGATTTTGGTGTTCTGTTCCTTGAAATCATAAAAAATAAATGCTTTTAGGCACTGTACCATTACTGGTTACAAGCCCAGATTTTAGTGTCACCTGAGTTTGAGGCCAGGTTTTCCTCTGTGAAACAGGAATGAGGGAGTAATTTTGTGGTTGTGAGGATTAAATCAGTGCAGGCAAAGCACTTATTTATAAGCTCAGTGCCTGGCACATAATAAATGACCTACAAATGTTAAACCATTATCAGTTTATGATTGGCTTAGAAACAGGACCTTCTTCCCCAACAGTTGAATTTTCTAAGTTTGAAATTTGGGAGGATTGTACTTAAGATTAATGTACAGAACTTTTGAGATGTTTGTTTCTAGTGCTGTAAGTCTATGAAGCAGTCCTTTATAGAAGAATATCAGAAATTAGTCTCCCTTCCGCCCGCCCCCCGGCCCCCAACATGAGATTTGCTGGGGAGCACACCTAGAGTTCTTAATAAAAGCTATATAATAAGTAATACAGAGTGGCCCAGCAACCACAGAACAAATGAATGACCTTCCTGTTACTTGCAGCATATTGATGTGCTTGTTACAAGATTTAAAAAGACAGTTTGTAAAATAATACTAGAAAGTTGTAAAGTTTTATTATGTCTTCACTTGATCACCTTTTCATACCTTAGCTGTTTTTCTTGGGAATTTTCCATGTAACATATCACATAAAATATCTTTTTTTCAGCAGTACGAACTAAAATGGTCTACTGCAAAATTGATCAGACCCAGAGAAAAGTAGTTGTCAGGTAAGACACTAAATACTTTGCAGCATTTTGAAGACCAGTTAGTTCTTATTATTTCATTTAAATGTTTAGAGAACCAAGGTGGTGTTCCTGTCAGTTGACTGTAGTTAAATAGTTGCTATTTATCATAATTTTATTAAAGTTCAGACTGAATGTGATTAGCTTATTTAATGAAAGAGTCCTATTTTCCAGCACATTTCATTTAATGGCTTAGCATTGGCTAGAATACTAATGACTTTTGTGTCTGGTTTATGTAGTTCAGAAAATAGAAGGTTTAGTATCGATATAGTAAAGATCTTTTTTAAGAAAAAAAGAAGCTTCTAGTTCTCTACAGTTCTAAATTGTCTTTTATATGTATTTCCCATTTATATTTCATGTTACTTTTAACTAGATGCAAGTGTATAAAGGCTGACTAATAACTATAATTTTTCGATTTTTAGTCATAGCACACATCGGACATTTGGAAAACAACAGTGGCAACAACTGTATGACACACTTAATGCTTGGAAACAAAACTTGAACAAAGTGAAAAACAGCCTTTTGAGTCTTTCTGATACCTGAATTTTTATGCTATGTGATTTTGTTGCTCTTCGGAAAAATTAAGTCATAGTAAAACATTATTAACTTAAATTTGATTATCTGGACAATTGTTTGAAAATTAAAAAAACCTGAGCATATACAAATAAATTACAAAGGTCACTATATCTTTTACAGTACATAAGGTGTGTTCTATAAGGAAGGGATATATAGGTGTCATAGAGCTTTGATCAAAGGATATATGGAGGAAAAGCAAATTCAAGGGGAACTGGATGCCAACAACAAACTGCAATCTTAGCTATCTTAGATGAAACATTAAAGCAAACTTAGCAATATATTTTCATCACATCAGAAAAAGTTGGAAAAGTGAGTAAAACTATAAAGCATCTATAGATATAACATTTTGTTCCAGTCAAAACCACATCAGCATTTCACCAGGGAAAGCATTTATCATCAATGTTATTTTAATCTGTTATTTTTTCCAACATCTCTTCTGCTTTTCTTTTACTAGTTTGGTTGTCATTTTCTAAGCTTAGTAACTTTTCTATTTCATTTATTTGATTTGTTAGCAGGCTCTGCCAGTCATCAGCAACAGTAGAAGATGTGGTCTAATCAGTAGTATCTTCAACCTTAACTGCCTGCAGATAGCTTCGTAGCAGAGTTGGTTTCAGAGGCTTTGTTTTCACCTAGGAAAAATTAAGTCATAGTAAACAACAAACATGTTATACGACTGAAATTATTACTCACTTTTTAAACAGTCATCAACAAAAAACTTAAAGAAAATCCTTAAATCCTCTGCAATTATGAATATGTTATAAAGCCACCATTTTCTTGGCTAATTCCAACAACTACTGGAGTAATTTTGGCACCAAAAACTGTAAAATGTTAATTTGTAGGCTTAAAGATCCCAAATATATTCCAGAAACACCACATTTTCTAAAAGGTGTTGAACTTACACTGAAAGAAAATATATTAAAAACAATGCAGATAAACATCTGTTTTGTCTTCTACTCCCTTCCCTTCCCAAACATGTCTATGTTTTGTATCTTCTATCAAAGCCATAGAAAAACTGCCATTTACTTGATGTTTCCTCTCATGCTTCAGAGCACCATTGTTGGAGAAACAGGAAAGAGCTATGAATTATTTGGAAGTTGGCCTGTTTCCAAGGCACTGCACTAGGTCATATTTATAATACTGTGTCTAAAAAAAGTTTTCATTTTAAGGTTTTTTCCCTGATAATTTGGAAAATAGAAGAATAAAGAAACTAAAAATCACTGGAATCCACTATCCAGAGAGACCTGTCAATATTTTGGTATCATTTACTACTAGCCTTTTTCCCCTGATATTTTGACATTCTATAGAATTTTGTATCTTGGTTTTTTTCTCCTGTGAGTTGTTTCCTAGGTCAAAATACCTCCATTATGGATGTGTGATACTTTTTTTCCCAATTTAACCCTATAAGAAAATTAATTTGAGTTTATTTCTTGAAAAAATCCTAGATGGTCTTCTCAAGATTCCCTGATAAAATCTGCTGTTAAAAGGGAATACTGTATTTTTAGAAATACAGAGCAGGATAAGAATAACACTACAATTATATAAGATTCCAACCATTAAACATTTTGATGTAAACATTCGAAACTCTTCTGCCATATATACACTTAAAATCTGGATCATATTTATATAATTTTCTATGCTACATTAAAAACATTTTAGCATTTCCCTTTACTCTTAAAAGTCTGTTTAAGAACATGGCTCCACCATACTCCATATATATACATATTATATATGTCACAAAATACTGCTGTTACCGTTAGGCTAAATTGAATTTCACTTGTTCATAAGTCTTTGTGGAGATCTTTGCTGCCTTGCATTCAAATCTTTTCTAAATTGGTAAAAGTGGGAACTTTATGACATTGTGATTTTCAAAGAGATTATATAGTAACTGCTTTTAGAGTGAGCTTAAATGTTTGTATTTTTAACCTTAGTTCCTTCAGGATTGCTCTGTTTGGCACCTGAGAATTCTCTAGTCAGCCACCAGTCCCTTCAAAGTCTTAACCTCTGATCCTGTGGCTGATGCTGTGTTCATACCTATCGGGCTATCTAGGTTCTTATGAAGTTAGCAGATAAATATCAGCATGAGCCCTCCAAGGCTTTTGGCAAATTACTTAACTTTGGATTCAGCTTTCTCATCAGCTCCTTTTAGTTACAAAATGCTTTTACTATAAAGAGTAACTGGGTAATGAATAAAAATGTGCATAAACAAGTATCTCAACATACCTCATTTAGCTCACAGGGCCAAAATGAATCTTAAGTTATCCATGCAATATTGAGAAATAGATACAGAAAGAAAAAAAACTAAAGTTGCTACTGATTTTGAAGTGAATGGATAATGTGAATGATTTAACGGTCCTGTTTTGCCATAAAAATGCTTGAAGCATTTTGGTGCATTTTACTTATACCAAGTACAAATTTGCCTGATTTTCCAAAATCCTGATTCTTTGACTTTTTTATCTTAATGGTGATGGAAAATGAGACATTTACACATTCTTGGTTTATTAGTTTCCCAGTAATAACTACCTCCTTGGTGGAAGGGGCTGGAGCAGGAATTTGCTAAACAGAGAAATAAGACATAATGTAAATTAAAGCCTACACTTACAAACTTGTCCTGTTTAGCTTAATTGAAGTTTTGAAGCCCATAGCAGTCATTGTAATTCCAAACGTATTCACATATTTCATTATCTTCTACCTCTTCCTTCTGGCTGACTCCAAAGATCTACTCTTTGGCCTAAAATTCCTCCTAGCCTGACACTAGTCCTTTCTCTTTCAGCCTGAGGTTACATTAAAATTTATCTTTTTTCACTCATTGGGTGTGTAAAATACATGGCTTGCTTTGCTTTCCTAGGGCTTCTCCCATTCTCATTCCCGAGTATCATCAAGATTGGAGCAGGCTTTCAACCTAATCCTCTCCAAGAACAAAAAAAACCCTCCCCCATTCAGGTAGATTAGCTTTTAATACAGGTATCCCCTGCTTTTTCAAAGTTTGCATCATGCCACCTTGATTTTACTAAAGACTTGTTTTAGCTAACTGAGGGAAATCTGAAGAGAATGTCTGCTTTTATGAAAAAAAGGTGAAAAGCAAAAGTAGTGTTCCTAGTTATTTCACAGTTGGCTGTTACAGTAGCAGTGCATACCCTGAGCAGTAAGAGTGACCTCACCAAGCTCCTTCCTTGGCAGGTACCCTTAAGCCTTTCAGCATCTAGCTGCCACTCGGAACTGTATCTATTAGCATTTTTGCTTTATTTTTATTTGATTTTGTGCATCCATTAGCAAGATGTGTTCTTGGGTATCAAAAACCTACAAAAAGTTTTTTGGGTCTGAGAATGCTAGACAAATTGTCCAAATGATAATTGCTTCTTGCTTCTTCCCTCACACTGGGCTTACAAAAGGTTTCATAGGAATACTCTACTTTCATATAGGGAAACCTGTATCTAACTCAGAATTTAACAGGTTTGGTATGAAGAGTATGCACAATAATATGTTGAAAAATATACAGAATGTCTATTATGGCTATACATCTTCATAAAATTCACTTGCCTTCATTTAGAACAAGGGTTGACGAACCTTTTTTGTACAGAGCCAGAAGTAAATATTTTTGGCTTTGTGGGCCAAATGGCTTCCCTCACAACTGCTAAAGTCCACCACTGCAACACAAAGACAGCTATAGACAATAAAATCAATGTGTGGCTCTAATCAAGTTTTACTCTAACAACAAGCAGTGGGCTGACTCTGGCCCACCAGCTGCCATTTGAAAGCCCCTGATGGTAAAGTACTGAAAAGCAAGTAAACAGGCTTCATAGAATAGACTGTCGTAATTTTATCCAAGGATAACAGCACTTTCAGTAGGCTAGGCAAAAGAATAGATAATGCTTTTAAATGTGTCCTACATTAGGAGTTAATTGGTAATCAAACTTCAGCTGGACAATGATACTTAGCATAGTGCTTGGCACATAGTAATAAGCACTTAGAAAATGTCTAGTTAGCCAGTGAGCTGAGTTTGTTTAACATGCACCAATGTTTTGAGAAGAAACATTTTTTTCTTTTTGGAAATAGAGAAAGTATATAGCATTTGACTAAGGGCCATGATTTCTAGTTTTAAGTCTATCACAGATTGTCTCAATGATTCTGGAAAGTTGTTTCACATTTGTGTCACTGCTTCCTCATCTGTAAAGTAGATACACCTTACAGACCTGCTGTGGAAATACTTTTTAAAAGTTTTAAGTTCTATAAATTCTTGAAAACATTAATTGCAGGAAGAGCATTAGGAATTAGACACAAGAATTTTCCTATTGGATTAATTATAAAAATGGGCTTGAAAAGGAGATACGAAATTTCCATCATACCTTTAAACTGTTGGGAAACAGGACAATTATAAGTGTTAGTCCACATAATTAAAGTGGGAATCTAGCTTTGATACTCTCAAGCTTCCTTTTTACTTGATTCTATGACCTTTCCAATTGCCCAAGATCAGAACTTCGATTCCCCAATGCCAGATTTATAATACTTTAGTGGTACACAGTTGGATGCATCAAGCTGCAACTATTATTGCTGAACTCAGTTATGGAAAAGTGAAGGTAGATCTTGATCTTTGTTTCAACTCTCCCAGAGATTGTATTTATACTATCACACTTGAGATTTCTCCTATGTAGAAAGGAAAATAAAATATATTGTTAAAAGCTGTTACTTGTTAAGGCTATGTTAGTACTAGAATTTTCACTTTATATGTACTGATGAGAAGAGTTGTTTAATGTGCCCCTCTAAAATTAAAAATTCCTAGTGACTAAAATCTCACTATGCTGTTGAGTTTTAATAACTAATCTTTCCTAACCTTTCAGCAGTTATACCTCTAATTAGTCTGGTTTTTAGATTTTAAGCAGTACATTTTGCACACTTAAATTTTTTTTTTAACCAAAAAAAACAGGCAGCAGTAGTTTGCTTTTAATATGACAAATGGGCTTCTGGAGCCATATAATTGCTACAAATCGTTTAATATATATATCTATACTTGGTGTCATGGATATTTGATCCTTTCACATACTGTGTTCGACTGAAATAATTTATGATAAATTTCTTTGTAATAGTTTACCAAAATTATATAAATTACCTTAAACACTATTAAAAACAACCGATGAGAATATTTAGGCATTTTTATTAAAATAAATTTTTAAATGCTCAAATGCCAGTATTCCTAAATTTGGGTGACTAATAAAATTGAAGTCCGTAATACACTACCTCACACTCCTTCCCAAAACAGGCTGGATTGTATCTATCTGATTTATACACTGTGACTTTTTCCTGCTGTTTTCCATCAACCTTAATTGTGAAAAATGGTGCCATGTTGCCCTCTTGATATTATTTTGGACATCAGTTAGGTCTTAAAGCATCCAGATGCATACGGTTCTACACATATCTGTAGAATTAGCTCACTAAGGTCTACTCGGCAATATTTTTAATTGACTTACATGTTCTGTGGGAAAAGAAGAATCATAAGTCTTTGCAGTTACATTCCTCTCTTCAGTGGGCTCTCCCTTGGGATCTGGATGGATACTGGAGTTATTCAAAGTGTCAGCAGCTCCGATAATGGTAGTATCTGGTTGACAGAGGAAATGTCAAGAACTGAATTTTATTCTCCAGGCACTCATTTAGTTACTGAACTTTTCTCTGATTCTCTGCTTTTGTTTTTTAAAAGTAACAATTTCTACTTTCTTTTTGAACATTTTGTAGTTTTCATAGACTCTGCTCTTAATATTAAGCATTTCATTTCAGAAAAAAATGTTATTGGTACTTTATAAAACCGATTTCACATTAAAGTGAAGGAAATGGTATCAGTATCTTCTAAAACAAAATAGCTGATATAAACTCATATAAAATATGTTACCCTTCTTCCCCTGGTTACTGCATTGTCCACACATGTAAACATTTATACAGTGAACATCTTACTAATTCAGATTAATGGGAAAAATCTAAACTAAAAGATTATGCAATTGGCCATATAGTAAAATGCCCAGAAGGTGTCACTGGATTTAAGTAAATATATAAAAATGATTTAGAGAAACACATCAACTTTGAAAGCTGAAAGATACTTGAGTATCTTTAGTTTGAGTATTTTACAAGTTGAATTTCTATGGAGTTTCAGACATCTCCTTCCATCCTTATCATTGAGATTTAATTTAGAAGAAAGACCTGTGAGAAAATGGTAAACATAAGATCAGCCCCAAGACTAAGCTTTGGACAGATTCAAAAATAATGGAATCTGAAGTTAGTAAGTTACAAAAATTATAGCTTGCAAAATGAAGTTTTACAGTGCCTTAGTGTTTTGTATTTTTCCCTACAACACTACTCCATTTATGTTAGTAAACAAGATAGTTTGCTTTTAATTCCCAATTTTTCTTTTTTACATTTCCTTTTTAGAAGAAGCCTGTTAAATCTATGGGCTATTCCAAGCTTTTCTTGTAATCTGCATTTCTTTAATGGGTCTGAATTCATAATGTTAAAACAGGCCAAGTTTTTTTAAAACCTAAGAATGACTTGAACAACCTCAACAACTATGACCATTAGATTGCTATTAGCAAAGGAAACATTTTCCTCATAATTGTATTTCTCAGCTATCACTGTTAGCTCCAACTTACATAGCATCTATACATATTTTCATTAATATTTTTAATAGGAAAAATTACATAAGCTTTATTACCCATCAATACTATGTCATATATTGCATCCATTTAGCTCACTATTTTTTATTCTGGAGTAGTTTTATAAAACAAAACTGACATGTTTAGTTTTTAAAAAATAGGGTAGTCTCTTTTCTCTTGAAATACTTAACATTTGACTATTAACAGGTACATAGGGATTCAATTTAAAATGTTTCAGTGACTGATAGGAAATTATTAATATTATACCTCAAGATTCTTATAATAGCAAAGCTGGATTTATTGTGCTAGTGAAGGAACAGATGAAAAAAAAATTCAGGAAAGGAAAATTGGAGGAATAAGTGGCAACACAGAAAAACTAAAATGTGCTTCTGATGGAAGATTTTCTGAAGAGAGTATAGAAAGAAAAGGAATGAATATACACACTGGCTGAATCCTTAACACCTTCACTGCATTTGCTCTAAAAAGTATAAAAAGATGAGGTAGTTGTTACTAATTTAAAATGAATAACCCAGATCTGTGTGTTGTCTGGGTTTTTTTTTTTTGTTTTTTTGTTTTTTTTGCCATTTTCAGTTCTAAATGAAAAGTTCTTAAATTTCCAAAATGCAATTGCACCTAAGTACATGTTGATATTAGTGGCTCATCATGGGTGAAAAGAAATCCTCTTCTGTTTAAATAAAGCTTTTCCTGCTTTTACATATATGGAGTATTTTAGGTATAGGGAAAAAATATATAGTTGACTTGAACAGAGTGGGTTTGAACTGTGTAGGTCCACTTATACACAGATTTTTTTCAATAAATACATCAGAAATTTTTTGGAGATCGACAATTTGAAAAAACATTCTCTATTGTAAGACTATAGTATACATATGACACACGAAATATGTCAGTTGACTTTCTTATTGGTAAGGTGTCCAAGCAACAATAGGCTATTAGTAGTTCAGTTTTGGGGAGGTCAGAAGTTATACAGGATTTTTAACTGCACAGTGGAGGGAAAGGGGGTCAGCAGCCCTACTCATGTTCAGGGGTCAACTGTACTAATATAAATGTCTTCGATTTAAGATAAGTAGTGATTCTATAGCATCTTACTAAGCTGATGGATAGTGACTATAATGGGGTGTGGTGGGACTTGATAATATGGGTGGATGTAGTGACCACAATGTTGCTCATGTGAAACCTTCATAGTATTGTGTATCAATGATAACAATAAAAAAATTCCTAATGGAAAAAAGTAATTAAATGTCTTCATTTTAAATAAGCTCTTTGTATACTCTTTTTTACCAAAATATGTAAGAATATACAAATTTTAAAAGAAAACATAAACCTTGTTTTCTTACCTGGTCCAATATCCTTCCTGACATCCTCAGCAACACTGTTACAAAATGTTACTGAAACAATCTTTTTATTTTCTGACGGACTTGTGGGTCTCCCCTTCAGCAATAAAGGAATGCTAGAAGTTGGAGTGCTATCTGTTTGACTTTCAATTTGATTTACCTTTGACCAAGGACTGGGGTCTAAAGAATTCACATATACTGACATTTTCTCAGTTTTTTTATCTGAAATTGAAAGATCAAAGACTGACTTTCCACCTCTGTTGACTGAATCTCCAGATGGCTTTATGTAAAATGAACATGATTCTTCTAGCTGTTCTTCACGGTAAAATTTTCCTGAAGTGATGTCATTTAATGACACTGTTTTTTCTATATTATTTAACAATGTATGCTGTGTTTCGTTAACATTCACAAAAAGATCATTTTTTGTGGCTTCAGTTACCTGATTCTCATCAATCTGACTCTCTTTATTAGAAAACTGTGTTTCTGTGGAGGTTTTTGAGTGAAAAGCAGCTTTCATGTCTCTGGCTTGTGAGGCACCTATATTCTCATTGTTAACCTGAAGATGGGAAATGGTCACGTTGTTTTCTAAATATCCCAAACAGTTCTTCGACTGACTGCTTTGCATCTCATTCAGACTTTTCCAAATAGTTCTTTCCCCACGGTTTGAGTTGGGTTTCACCAACAAAGGCCTGATATTGACATTTATATCTGATTTCTTAAGAAGTACTTTCAAGTTATCACTGAAAACAGTAGATGACATGGGGTGGTTGACTGATGTGACACACGGAATAGTTAGTTGAGGTTTCTCTGAGGTGTTACAAGTTTGTGGAAAATCTGAAACTTGCTTAAATGGCAATACACTGCACTCACTTTTTTTATTTAACAGTGATACTTGTTCTGTTTTACACTGTTCATCATCTAACATATTATTTGAATCCTGTAATTTGTATTTTTGACACTGATCTGGATTCTTTTTTACATTTAGAGATGAGTCTAAATCTGCTTTGGTTTTATCATTACTTGTAATTTCCTTCTCTATGGCATTTTCTTGAATCCCTGGGAGCACTCCAAACTGTGTGAATGATTCATTTTCAGAAACATCCTTATTTGTACTGCAGGTCATCTCATTTAAGATACTGTTATTAAGTGATGATCTGATATTGTCAACCTCTATATGGACATTTGCATGGTGAAGATCTAATCCTTCAGTTCTTTCTAGGTTTACTTTTTCTATTGGTATATCTGCCAGTGAAGAAGTACATCCATTGTCTTCCAATTCCATCTTGTCTTTTATTTCTGAAGTAACTGCTTTTCTACAGTCAGTAATATTCAAGGTCTGTCCTTGACTAATTAGTTCTTTTTCAATGCAGATGGCTTTGCTTTGATTTTCATCCTGAGGTACAGTAATATCAATGTCATTCTTGGAGCTTTTGTCCAAAAGCTGTAAATCTGTCGTGAGAACAGAATAAATTTGTATATTGTACACTAAAGCTTGCTTTTATATGACATGTACAACCTGCTTTTGTAAAAACATTTAGCATTAATGTTTCATTAGCTAGATATTATACAAACATGGCACTGATTTTACCTTTGTCACAGTGAGCACATACTTAGCATGCTATTAAATTTTTATTTCCTAACAACAAAAGTATTTTTCATTTTAAAAGGGGGAAGTAAACTGAGACTATTACAAAATGGTTTTTATTTCTCCAGTATGTTGCTTCCTTTTGGGCATACAGTATAATTTCATAAAAACATAGCTGATTTGATAAAAATTAATTTATCCTAACAGGTTACATATTCTAATGTCTATTACTAGCTAGATCCAGAAATTGCTAGCTGGTTTCTAAAAGACCGACAATCATCACTTTTTTTTTTTAACTACTTTATAAGCTTTTTAAAATTTTGGAATACTTTTGGGCTAGTGTTATAGAATATCTATTTAATCAAAACATCAATTGTATTCATCTGTGTTCTACCCATAAGTTTAAAAATTTCAGTATAGCTAAAATAATCTAGAATACAAAGTTCAGGCTTTGAAGGGCTTTTTTGGTTTAACCATTCTTTCTGCAACATCTCCACCAAGTGGTTGTTCAGCCTAGATTTGAACACCTTCAAATAATTAATACTGTCTTTAAACAAATCTTTAAGATGGATGAATGAACTATAGAATTATTTCACTGGTTACAGAAACATCATTTGATCTAAGAAAAGTGCTCTAGGTTTGGTCACCAGAAGGTTATTGGTGGCCCAGAGAACATCCATAGCAAAGCAGTAAAGACAAAAGCCAGAATGCAAAAAGCCTAGGATCCCATGAATGTTAATTTTTTCCCCAAAATATTGACTTTAGATCAAAGGAGCTATTTTGTTATCGTTCTTAGGAAATACACCAATGAAAAAGTAAGTTTCTCCAACTACACGACAAGGTCCTCAAAGAAAAGACTGTAATTGATATCCCCCTAAATCCTAGCACAGCACTTTGGCAGATCCTTTATTGGGAGGTGTGGGGGAGGGGGGTGGATTCAACATATCCATATTAGGAAATACCAATGTAATCTTAGGTTACCTTCTATAATGACTTCTTCTATAAATGGGCCTTCTTTCTTTCCCTCCTCTCTACATTTAGTATCCGAACAAAAAATCACAGTATTTTCTTCCCTTATTTCTTGCCCAGAATTATATTTCCGTATGATGGTATTTTCTAATTTTTCAATTGACATTTCACTGTTTTCAGCATTTACTTCTGGAAAATTCTAGTGTAAAATGGAAAAGATATCTTTAATGTAAAAAACAGGTTGTTAAAGAGTGAAACATTCAAACTTTGCTGATGGAATGTGTCTCAATTCATTCGGCAATTTCAATTTTGAAAGCAAAATGATTTTATACTAAATCTATTTGTAACAAGATCACTTTAAGTTCACTTTGTATAATCTATCATATTTAAAACAAAATGGAGACCCTTAGGTGTTTTCAAACATGCCTTCCACATTATTATACAATACCACATACCATATATGTAATAAAAGACCTGCTCCTTTTTTAAAACCAGTGTAGTCATGGCAAGCAAACTGTTTTGAATATTTGGTATTTTTGTGAATCAGTTCAACATACTATTATATATACCCCTTATATACTAAGCACATATTACATGGAAGCACTTAACTAGGCTTTGTAATACAGTGATGAACAAAATACAGTCCCTATCCTCAAAAAAACTACAGTTATGGAGGAAAGACAGAAAAAGTATTAACAGGCAACTTTAATATAGACAGGGATTAGGAGGCACTCCACAGAGAACAAATGGCACATACAAATGCTTAAAAGCAAGCAAGGTTATAGGCTTTTCATGGACAAACTCATGATTTACTGCAGCGGGGGCTTAGATGCTGGGAGATGAATTGGGAGCAATGAGGCTTGAGGTAAGCTACATCTAGTCATGGACCTCATTCAGCATGCGAAGGATCCCAACTGTACCAGGAAAGACCATTCTGGCTACAGTATAAAGAATGGATTAATGCTTCCCAAATTTTTCATTAAAACCTAAAATGAGGAAAAAATGTTTGCAACAGTGCACCAAATGTTATTTTTACTGAGATCCGTTTTTTATGCTTTTTATTTTTAAAGAATGCTGGTCACAAACCACTAAACTACCATGAACCACTAATAGGTTGCATCTACAAGTCTGAAAAACACTCAGTTAAAGGGAGACAACACGTAAGGCAGAGAGGAGGCAGGTGAGTGCCACAGTCCAGTCCAGGTGGTATCGATAAAGATGAGCTGCAGGTTAAGTTTGATGAATTATGAGCTATTAATAGGACTTGGTGAATGACTGGATGAAGGCTGAGAAAAAAGACTGATTCACAGAGTTCAGATTAGGTAACTGGTGGAAGTCATTTAATGAGCTAGAAACTGAGTAGCTGGTTTGGAAGAAAATATGAATTCAGTTTGAACCTGCTGAGTTTGAAGAGTTAGTAAGACTTTAAGGTGGAGATGTCTAATGAACATTTAGATGAATGAATCTAGAGCTTAGAAGAAAACTGACCTGGAAATGTAGACTTAAAAAATCATTGGCACACAGATGATAACTGGAGATGTACAAGTTGAGGAAACTAAACAGTGTATTCTGAGAAGAAAAGAGGATAAAGAACAAAATGCTAATGAAGATCTCCAAGGAAAGAGAAACTGACAAATAAGTTTGCAAAGGAGATTTAGAAAAACAGTATGGTAGTTATCAGGAGCTTTGGAGTTAAGTAAGTATGGATTCAAATCCTGATTTCAGTACTTATTAATTGTGAAACCCTGGAAGGGTACTTAATTATCAATTGCTGTATAACAAATCATCCCCAAACTTAATGTTTTAATATAGCAAATTATCCCATAGTTTCAGTGAACCAGGAATTTAGCAATGGCTTGGCTTTATGGTTATGGCTCTGGGTCTCTGATGAGCTTCCAGTCAAGCTGTCATCACCTGAATCCTTAATTGGGGCTGAAAGGTCTGCTTCTACGGCTCACTCACATGGCTGGTAGCTGGTGTTGGCTGCTGGGTGGAGTGCTTTGGTTCTCTTTATGTGGGCTTTCATCCTCCAGAGCTACTCTTTACTATGTGGCCTTTCCAGCAAGACAGCCTGGTTTCTTTACATGGGCTGAGAGAGAAAGAGAAGCAGAGAAGTAGAGACAGAGGTAGACTGAAGAGAGTGTGTGTGCACTCAAGATAGAAACCAGTCTTCTAATCTCAGAGGTGATGTCCCATCACTTCTGCTATATTCTTTTAACTGGAAGCAAGTCACTAAATCCAGCTCACACAAGGGGAGGGGATCACAAAAGAAAATGAATACCAGGAGATGGGAATCACTTGGGGTTTAGAGGCTGCCTACGATAAACTTTGTGAACTCGTTTTCTCACCTGTAACATGAAAATGTGAAAATTAAATTCAATTATGTTTACAAAGCATATGGCTCATGGTTGCCCAATTAATGGTAATAAGAACTATTATTACCACCTCAAAGAGAAGCCTGAGAATAGGGAAAAAAAGTAGATAAGTGAAATATATTAGAGGGAAAGGGTATTCAAGAAGGAGATAGTATCAAATGTGTCAAAGGGACTGAAAAATGTCCACTTAAAAGTAGTATCCATTAGATGGAGTGGAGAGATTAGGCCATACTGCCCTATGTTAAAGGATGAGTGGGAAATAAGGAAATAAAAAGTATGAGTATAGACAGACCACTCTTAAGCAACTTGCCTGTACAGGGGGAGAAGAGACTTGTACTTAGAGATGGACATAAAATCAAAAAAGGTTTTGCTATTTACTTTGTAAAACGCAAAACACTTAAGCATGTTTAATGGCAAGTAGAAATACATAACTAGTAATTCACAGAAGAAATATAATGAACATGAATATACATTTACTAAACTGATATGCAAACAATTAGAAAAATTAATTTTTAAAATACTGTTTACAACAGGATCCCAAAAGATGAAATAGAGATAAATTTAACAAAATATTGGCAAAACCTACACAATGAAAACTATAAAAACATTTGAAAGATATTTAAATAAATTTAAAGATATGCTCATGAATTGGAAGATTCAATATTGTTAAAATATCAATTCTTTGCAGATTATAGATTCAACATGATCAAAATCAAAATCCCAGACTCCCCTTAGAAATTGACAAGCTGATTCTAAAAGTTACCTGGAATGAAGAATAGCCAAAACAATTTTGAAAAACAACCAAATTGAAGAACTTACACTATCGCAATTTAAGATTTCTCATAAAGCTACACTAAGTGTTGTGTTGGCTTAAAGACAGACATATAACCAATGAAACATAATAAAATAATTCACAAATGGAAGCACATATATTTAATCAACTGATTTTTTTTAAAGTACCAAGGTACAATGGGAGAAAAAAGTCTTTTCAACAAATGTGTGTGCTGAAACAATTTGGAAACCCATGTCCAAAAAATTGGTGCTCAATCCTTTTATCACATTGTACACAAAGATTAACTAAAAATGTATTATGGACTACATGTTAGTCTTATTTTTTTTTAAGTTGAGAAACTGAAAGTATAAAGCAGGGAGAAAATCATCAGTGATGGCCCTAATTTCTTTTAACAGTTTGTACCCCCAGCATACTTGAATTTTACCTGAAACTTGTCATCTTCAGACTTTTCCTGATTACATAATTTATTGTAATGTTCTTGTAACTTAATATGAGTTTCTTTAAGTGATGATAACTCATTTTTAATCTCATTAATTTCTCCATTAAGTTCTTCAACCTAATGTAAAATTTGAACAAAATGAGCAGGCATATAAATGTGTTTGTATGAAAATATTAACACAAGAGATAGATAATAGTAAAAAATGAAAATCCCAAAGTAATTACTGAGAGCCACCATTTATTAACTGTACTCAATTTACAGATGAGAAATGTGAGGCTCACAGACATTAGGTAACTTGCCCAGGATCAGGTGGCTATAAAGTAGTAGTCAGGATTCAAATCCAAAGCTGAATCTAGGGGTTGTGTTCTTAACCCCTTAAACCACCTTTTGTGACAAATGAAAAATTATTTATTTTTAAGCTTAGAAGTGCTGTGAAAGTTAAACCTTTACTGCTTTCTTAGTTTTATTTTCTTATAAGAGAAACAGATTTTAACTGAACTAGATGAAAAGTACTGACGTAAGTAACACAATAGTTGACATTTGCACCCATGAGCTGGGTTTTCTCTGACCATTATTAGTCTTACCGTGTTTCTTGGGGGAGCACTCTTTCATGGGAACCTCAAATATGAGACAATGTAAGATTCACCGAGGAGACAAATACCCTTTGTCTCGGAAGATAATAAAAGTTTCCTATAAACAATTTTTAAACTACCAAAAACTCCACAAATACATGTAATATTCCTTATAGAGGCTAACAGACATGAGCTCACCTATTACTTTCCTTTCATTTCATCTACTTTTAACCATCTTTAATAACCATCTATCTCTGCAAGGTACTTTTTTCCAAAGCTCAAAGTGTTCTTTAGCCCATCCTTTCCTATCTCCCTGAGTGCCTATTCTCAATCCTTCCTGCTATACCAGCATATTCTCCTCAGCCCACAAACATGGTCTTCTCACATTCCTAGGTTTTTTTTTCTCCTTGACCCAATTAGTTTCCCTCATTTCTTAAAATGAAGTCCACATTTACTACTTTGAAAGTTTAACCTCCCATAACTCCTTAACAACCTAACTTCTGCCCTCATTGTTCTACTGATCTTTTTCCTCAGGTTTCACCTAATTTAGCAAAAGGCTTTTTTCCAAGTTTCATACCATTTAACTCTGTAGCATGACTGTTTGACTCCTTTCTTCACTTTCATGATACTACTCTCTTTATCCTGTACCTTTCTCACTGTTCTTACCAAGCTTCTCCTCTCCTCCTGTCCCATCCCCCTGCCCCTTCACAAAATGCTGGCGTTCTCCAAAGCTCGCTCTTCTTCAGTCTTCTCAAGTCCTCTACTACTTCCACAGATGATGATCTTACCATATTTATACCTTGAAATTTTATCTTTATGCTAATAAATCTTAAATATCTCATCTTCCAACCTATCTCCTTAGATTCACATTTTCAAATGCCTGACAGGCATTTCAAGCTAATGTTCTACAGGTACCATAAATTCAGCAGTTCCCAAATTAAACTCATTTTCATCCACCAAATCTGCTTCTTCCCATTCCTTACATCAATTAATGACATTATCATTCTACTAGTTCTACTAATCTCAGTCATGTTTTCCCTTCTAATGCTCATTAGATATAAAATGTCACTAGTCCTGCCAATTACACTTCCAAAATGCTTCCTGTACCTAGCCCCCTCCTTTCTGTTCTCACAATTATTGCCCTAATTTGTTCATGGTTCGATTATTTGCAGTATTCTTCCTATTGGTCTCTTTCCATAAAGCCATCATTCATACTGTTGCCAGGAATTGTTTTTCTGACACACAGATCTGACTATGTAACTTCTCTGATTTAAAATTCTCAATGGCTTCCCATTACTTACAAAATAAAATTCGACTTCCTTAGTAAGAAACCCTTTGGAAGATGATCTCAACCTATTTTCCAATGTCACATTCCACGTACCCTTCGCTTCATTCAGATCAGACTATTCACCACCCTTGAAAACGCAGTTCTGTCCCTCCATGATTTTTCCCATTCTTTCTAATTTGTCAATACTACTAAAAGCACTGCATGCTACTGTGGTTAATTTCATAGTTAATAATTATTAATTAGTTTCCTTTTGAGTGTGAGCTCTTTATTAATCTTTGTATTTTAGGCATCTTTGAAAATCACGAGTACCTAGAATAGTGCCTAACATAGAATATATGCTCAAAAATGTGAATCGAATTTTTGTGACTCCCCCCATTAAATAATTCCTGAGCACCCCCATATATTATCTTTTTGTCTCTCTACATATCCATTGGCTATATAATTAGCCAAATGAAAATAGATATACATAACAGTTCTTTATATTTTAAGGAATTTAAATATATTATCTAATAATATAGTTTCATTTGTATCTTCTTTCACTATTTTTTTTGAAGTAGCAGTTTATATGATTCCATCTTATCTTTGTCAGTATCTCACTTTTTTAATTTATCATGATCCCATGTCAGTAGCAATGCTATAATTGTCCTTCACTCAGGAATGGTGAGGATGAACCTAGAGGATATTATGCTAAGTAAAATAAGCCAGGGAGAGAAAGACAGATATCATATGTTTTCACTTCTATGTGGAATCTAAAAAAAAAACAAACTGAAGGGAACAGAACAGCAGTAGACTCATAGACACTGAGAAGTGACTGGTGGTTACCATGGGTGAGGGGTTGGGGAAACAGGTGAAGGAGTTAAAGAGGCAGAACGTCTGAACCATAATATAAATCAGTAACAGGGATGGAAGTAGAGCATATAGAATACAGTCAATAGTTCTGTAACATCTTTCTATGTTGACAGTAACTACACTAGTTGGGGTGAGCATTTAATAATGCAAACAGATGAATCACTCTTATATACTTGAAACCAATATAGTATTGTGTATCGACTACACTTCAATTTTAAAAGACATTTGAAAAAGGGGGTGAAACACAGAGATAGAAATACAATTAAAGAGTAGATCTGATCTCCCATTCAAGAAAATCCTTATAGAACAAAAGCAGCTTTTTTTATTTAACTATGTTCTGTTTAGTACTAAAGCACATGGAAGTAAAATGATTGCAGAAGCTAAAGATTCTAAGACAAAACCAAGTTTATACAAACTTACAGACTGAGGCCTTATCAGTGGCACTGAATGCTTATTTTTCTTAATTCAACAGACTTTTCTCTTAGGGGAGGGGTATGGCTGTGGTCTCATCAGGAAAAATGTTTAATTTTTGTAGCTCAACTAACTTTTTTTTTATATTGTTGGCATATTTAAAGTTTTACTTTATAGTTTTCCTTATCCTCACAGTATCATTTCCATGGTCTTTTAAAATAAGAATGAGAAGTATAAGTGTTGGGATGCGATGTGGATTAGTGAAGTTAAAATGAATGTTACCATGCTTGTTGCTTAATGATAAATTTTACTATTATATAGATTATTAAGCACTTTATTATTTTGATAAAATTAATTAAAAATACTTTTTGGGATCTGGGTAAAACTTATCAAATTCATCAGTGAAGACTTGAGCTCTCCAAAACACAAATGAAGAGAACATATTCTCTGGAAATGAACTGAAATATCTACAGTTACTTATTTAACATATCAAACAAAACTATGTAGAGAAAATGTTATCAAGCTGGAACTTATATATATATATATATTTATATATATATATGTATAAAATATACTAGTATAGTAGAATAATATAGCATAATTAGTACAAAATATAATAGTGACTTTCTTTGTATTAAATTTTAAATAACTGAAAGGCAATGAAAATAGATACTAAAACAGAATACGCAGTTTTGCAGTCCAGCTATCTTTAAAGTGAACCTTTATATTTCACAGAAAGAATTTACATCATTTTACAGTTTTATTATCTATTTCATCGAAATTAAAATTTAGTGTAAAATAATCGTGGTTTAAGGAAATAGCCATGTTTACAATATTTCAACTCATGATAAAATGTTAATATTATAGAACTCAACTACCATTTACATGTTCTAAATGGCTTTAACACATCCCAACAGAACTGCTGAGGAAAGCTAAACAGATCGGCTAATAGTAGTACCTTATAATTCCTCATTTTCATCGTTTACTAAAATACTATGCAATGGTTTTATGAAAAGGCAAATTAATTTTTCTTTGTCACATATGGGAAGTCATTCAAATTATTTATATACATATATATAGACACACATATATGTGTAGTTTTTCATGCATGAAAGCATTAGAGGAAATTTTACCAAATTTAGCTATTAGCAAGCATTCACTTTTTGGAAATAAAAGTGCAATAAGAAAATGTCTGACTTTATTCCTATATTATTTTTGCAATATTTTCTCAACATTTAATAGTTATCTTAAATGTCCACAAACATTTAAAATATTTTAATATTTCAGTACTTAATAAACGTACATGCTTTTTCCAAGTTCCCAGTGCTTTCTCATGCTCATTTTGAAGATTAAGGAACTTTTCTTCATTTTCTTTTACCTTCTCCCTTTGCAGCTCATTATCTCTTTCAAGGGTCTGCAATAAAATTAATTATCCAAAAAATAATCAATACCACATTAATGAATTTTGATGTGTTTTATGTTGCTTGGACCTTTGCTTCTAACATGCTGAAAGTGCCATACAGATCAGTGATAATGTGCTATCTCAACAATAATTTTCATAAATTAACAGAAAGGTGCTCATAGTTTAGTTAACAGGAAATAGGGGGAGGTTATGAAAAAGAAATGGCTATAAAAGGGTATAAAAACATTGCCATTATTCAGTTTCACTGCATAAATTTTAATGTACTGAAAAAGTAATATAAAGTACAGCACTGAAAAATATGAAATGTAGCATAATCCAGCCTATTTTAACTATCACAGAACATTTTTTTCATACCTGTTTATTTTAGAAATTGACTAGTTATAAAACCCTTAAATACAATTTTAATTTCAGATTAACACTTTTTTAGTAGAGTTTCAATATTTACCATATTAATTTACTACCTCATAAATCATCATAATATAACCTCCACTACAGTACCCTCTGCCCCCCCAAAAGCCTTGACAGAGTAAAAATACTTCTTAGTGTTTTCTAGGACAAGGATTTTAAAGTTATCAGGTCATTGTCACTAGTAGTATTAGATCTCTTCAATGTCTGCTGATAAGTAAACTGTAAAAAGATAAGTGGTAAGAACTCTACCTACATATCTAATACATCTGGAATTTTCAAGTTCATTTGTTCATCATTATTGAAGCTATATATACATTCAGTACATAAATATTTCAAGCCTCACAAAAGATACAGAAAGAAAATGTTAAGTTTCCTCTAGCGATTCCTCCAATTATCCTTCCCAGAGATAACCATTCCAGTGGTTTCTTGTGTATCCTTCCAGAAATTTTCTGTAAGTGCACCAGTACATAAAATGTATCTTTTTAAATACAGATAAGACCATATATAGTGTTGTTTAATAATCTGCTTTTTTAAAAAAATGGATATCATACCATTACTTTCCATATCATTATATACAGATCTCCCTTTAAAGGTTTCATAGTCGTCCATTTATTTAAATTTCTCAACTATATCTAGAATGTCCAAATGCAAAGATATAATTAAGCAAAATTATGGAAACATTTAATAAAAAGCATTTTACAATTTTAACATGAAGATTCTCCAGTTCATACATAGCAAAGCATTTTGAGAGCACCCAGTGAATACCTATTCTGATTCTACTTTGGGATAATATATTTTTATAGAAGTCATGTTTTCTTCTTAATTTACAAGTACACATAACAGGGCAGTTACTGAATATCTACAATGAAATATATTTAAGAGATTCTTAGTACTTTCTAACAAATATTTTACATTATCTATAATAACACTGCCTTTTAGAAGATATACAAATCAAACTTTAGAGGATTTCAGCTTTAAATTTCAGCTACCATGGTCAATATATGGGAGAACATAGCAGTCTCTATCATACTAACAATAAATGAACAACAGCATTATGTTCTTAAAACAGTGTATTAGATATGATAATCATTTCCTGTCTCTACCTATACCCCCATCTAAAAGAAATTATGTCAGATATCTCAGTTTCTGTTTTTCAGAGACATTCCATCCTCCACTACTATTTGGACCTATTGCTCTTTCAGGCAGCGCCCGTGATCATGTTATTTCTGAGGATTTCCTTCTCTCTCCTGTGGTGGGGCTCCCGTTTCTTAGATCTCATGGCTTCCTTTTCCTTGGTTTATTATCTTGTCTTGTAAACTATTACTTCTTCATAAAGAAGGCATAGATGGCACATTTTTTGAGACCCTGCATGTGTGAAACATACCTTTATTCTACCTATTCAAAATTTGAGTGAATACAGTACAATTCTGCTTTGGAAGTCAATTTCTTGCCAACCTCTGAAGGCACTGTTCTATTACCTTCTACCTTCCAGCATAAGTCTGAAGCCATTTTGTTGCCATTCTTATTCTTAATGCTTTGAGTGTGACCTACTTCTTCTTCCCACAGAATTTTTAAATCTTCTCTTCAAGTGTAGTATGAAATTTCATAATGATATGCATTGGTGTTGGGCAAAACAAATTCAAACCCTTCAGTTATAGGTAACTTTCTTATACTATTTCTTTGGTCATTTCCTCTCCTTCCATTTTCTCTATTCTTTCTGAAACTCATCAGCCATCTTTCTCTCCCTCCAATTACCATCTTCTTGTCTTCTGACATGCATGAAATTGTCTTCTATTTTCTATAAGACTATCTCAATATTATCTTCCAAACTTTCCATTGTAGTTTTTATGTATGCTAATGTGTATTTATTTTAAGGGTTCCCTTTTATTCTATGAATATCCCTTTTTTATAGACTCTTAATTCTTATTTTGTGGAGTAATAAATATATTTCTCTTAACTGAGTATATTTTCTCAGTTTCTCCAAGTTTTTCTCATTATCCTATTTGTTTTCATGTTGGACATGTTCAAATGTCTAGTAATCCTTTAATGCCTGTTCATATTTAAGAATGAAGTGTTAAAAAGCCAGTTAAAAGTTTTGTCAAATGGTGGACTTGCCTCAAGTTTGATCTGGCTGAGCTATTTCATTGGGAGAACTTAACTAGCAGCTGTAGTCTTTTCTCTTGAGCAGGTTAGTTACCCTAGAAAGGGATCTTCTATTCTCCTGCCTGGAAGTTCTTAAGGCTAGCTGCCCTCTAAATAAGGAAACTGGATTAGGAGTCTCAGAGTTTGGTATTTAGACTTTCCAAACCCTGTTTTCACTAAAATATTTGCAGTAGTGTGCTGGTAAATTGGCTCTTAAAAAAAAACCTGGTAAGTAGCATTTACCAATGTCATTAGTGTTAAAGTTCAGCTACCATGGTCAATTTCAAACTACCACTGGTTTAACAATGAGCTCACAAAATGACAACAGCTCTAACAACCACTCTCTCTGGTACAAGTGGTTTCCAGCACACCATTGGATTTCCCAACCTCAGCTGTCCCTCAAACTCTCTAACATAAACCTCCAGTCTTCTGCCAAGTAGGGAGACAACCAGCATCTATTTGTGCAGGACAGGGAAGAGAATCTGGAGGTGCAGTAACGATCTTCTAGTTTTGGGCTTCAGTTATTAATGCAAACAGATGAATCACTCTTATATACTTGAAACCAATATAGTATTGTGTATCGACTACACTTCAATTTTAAAAGACATTTGAAAAAGGGGGTGAAACACAGAGATAGAAATACAATTAAAGAGTAGATCTGATCTCCCATTCAAGAAAATCCTTATAGAACGAAAGCAGCTTTTTTTATTTAACTATGTTCTGTTTAGTACTAAAGCACATGGAAGTAAAATGATTGCAGAAGCTAAAGATTCTAAGACAAAACCAAGTTTATACAAACTTACAGACTGAGGCCTTATCAGTGGCACTGAATGCTTATTTTTCTTAATTCAACAGACTTTTCTCTTAGGGGAGGGGTATGGCTGTGGTCTCATCAGGAAAAATGTTTAATTTTTGTAGCTCAACTAACTTTTTTTTTATATTGTTGGCATATTTAAAGTTTTACTTTATAGTTTTCCTTATCCTCACAGTATCATTTCCATGGTCTTTTAAAATAAGAATGAGAAGTATAAGTGTTGGGATGCGATGTGGATTAGTGAAGTTAAAATGAATGTTACCATGCTTGTTGCTTAATGATAAATTTTACTATTATATAGATTATTAAGCACTTTATTATTTTGATAAAATTAATTAAAAATACTTTTTGGGATCTGGGTAAAACTTATCAAATTCATCAGTGAAGACTTGAGCTCTCCAAAACACAAATGAAGAGAACATATTCTCTGGAAATGAACTGAAATATCTACAGTTACTTATTTAACATATCAAACAAAACTATGTAGAGAAAATGTTATCAAGCTGGAACTTATATATATATATATATTTATATATATATATGTATAAAATATACTAGTATAGTAGAATAATATAGCATAATTAGTACAAAATATAATAGTGACTTTCTTTGTATTAAATTTTAAATAACTGAAAGGCAATGAAAATAGATACTAAAACAGAATACGCAGTTTTGCAGTCCAGCTATCTTTAAAGTGAACCTTTATATTTCACAGAAAGAATTTACATCATTTTACAGTTTTATTATCTATTTCATCGAAATTAAAATTTAGTGTAAAATAATCGTGGTTTAAGGAAATAGCCATGTTTACAATATTTCAACTCATGATAAAATGTTAATATTATAGAACTCAACTACCATTTACATGTTCTAAATGGCTTTAACACATCCCAACAGAACTGCTGAGGAAAGCTAAACAGATCGGCTAATAGTAGTACCTTATAATTCCTCATTTTCATCGTTTACTAAAATACTATGCAATGGTTTTATGAAAAGGCAAATTAATTTTTCTTTGTCACATATGGGAAGTCATTCAAATTATTTATATACATATATATAGACACACATATATGTGTAGTTTTTCATGCATGAAAGCATTAGAGGAAATTTTACCAAATTTAGCTATTAGCAAGCATTCACTTTTTGGAAATAAAAGTGCAATAAGAAAATGTCTGACTTTATTCCTATATTATTTTTGCAATATTTTCTCAACATTTAATAGTTATCTTAAATGTCCACAAACATTTAAAATATTTTAATATTTCAGTACTTAATAAACGTACATGCTTTTTCCAAGTTCCCAGTGCTTTCTCATGCTCATTTTGAAGATTAAGGAACTTTTCTTCATTTTCTTTTACCTTCTCCCTTTGCAGCTCATTATCTCTTTCAAGGGTCTGCAATAAAATTAATTATCCAAAAAATAATCAATACCACATTAATGAATTTTGATGTGTTTTATGTTGCTTGGACCTTTGCTTCTAACATGCTGAAAGTGCCATACAGATCAGTGATAATGTGCTATCTCAACAATAATTTTCATAAATTAACAGAAAGGTGCTCATAGTTTAGTTAACAGGAAATAGGGGGAGGTTATGAAAAAGAAATGGCTATAAAAGGGTATAAAAACATTGCCATTATTCAGTTTCACTGCATAAATTTTAATGTACTGAAAAAGTAATATAAAGTACAGCACTGAAAAATATGAAATGTAGCATAATCCAGCCTATTTTAACTATCACAGAACATTTTTTTCATACCTGTTTATTTTAGAAATTGACTAGTTATAAAACCCTTAAATACAATTTTAATTTCAGATTAACACTTTTTTAGTAGAGTTTCAATATTTACCATATTAATTTACTACCTCATAAATCATCATAATATAACCTCCACTACAGTACCCTCTGCCCCCCCAAAAGCCTTGACAGAGTAAAAATACTTCTTAGTGTTTTCTAGGACAAGGATTTTAAAGTTATCAGGTCATTGTCACTAGTAGTATTAGATCTCTTCAATGTCTGCTGATAAGTAAACTGTAAAAAGATAAGTGGTAAGAACTCTACCTACATATCTAATACATCTGGAATTTTCAAGTTCATTTGTTCATCATTATTGAAGCTATATATACATTCAGTACATAAATATTTCAAGCCTCACAAAAGATACAGAAAGAAAATGTTAAGTTTCCTCTAGCGATTCCTCCAATTATCCTTCCCAGAGATAACCATTCCAGTGGTTTCTTGTGTATCCTTCCAGAAATTTTCTGTAAGTGCACCAGTACATAAAATGTATCTTTTTAAATACAGATAAGACCATATATAGTGTTGTTTAATAATCTGCTTTTTTAAAAAAATGGATATCATACCATTACTTTCCATATCATTATATACAGATCTCCCTTTAAAGGTTTCATAGTCGTCCATTTATTTAAATTTCTCAACTATATCTAGAATGTCCAAATGCAAAGATATAATTAAGCAAAATTATGGAAACATTTAATAAAAAGCATTTTACAATTTTAACATGAAGATTCTCCAGTTCATACATAGCAAAGCATTTTGAGAGCACCCAGTGAATACCTATTCTGATTCTACTTTGGGATAATATATTTTTATAGAAGTCATGTTTTCTTCTTAATTTACAAGTACACATAACAGGGCAGTTACTGAATATCTACAATGAAATATATTTAAGAGATTCTTAGTACTTTCTAACAAATATTTTACATTATCTATAATAACACTGCCTTTTAGAAGATATACAAATCAAACTTTAGAGGATTTCAGCTTTAAATTTCAGCTACCATGGTCAATATATGGGAGAACATAGCAGTCTCTATCATACTAACAATAAATGAACAACAGCATTATGTTCTTAAAACAGTGTATTAGATATGATAATCATTTCCTGTCTCTACCTATACCCCCATCTAAAAGAAATTATGTCAGATATCTCAGTTTCTGTTTTTCAGAGACATTCCATCCTCCACTACTATTTGGACCTATTGCTCTTTCAGGCAGCGCCCGTGATCATGTTATTTCTGAGGATTTCCTTCTCTCTCCTGTGGTGGGGCTCCCGTTTCTTAGATCTCATGGCTTCCTTTTCCTTGGTTTATTATCTTGTCTTGTAAACTATTACTTCTTCATAAAGAAGGCATAGATGGCACATTTTTTGAGACCCTGCATGTGTGAAACATACCTTTATTCTACCTATTCAAAATTTGAGTGAATACAGTACAATTCTGCTTTGGAAGTCAATTTCTTGCCAACCTCTGAAGGCACTGTTCTATTACCTTCTACCTTCCAGCATAAGTCTGAAGCCATTTTGTTGCCATTCTTATTCTTAATGCTTTGAGTGTGACCTACTTCTTCTTCCCACAGAATTTTTAAATCTTCTCTTCAAGTGTAGTATGAAATTTCATAATGATATGCATTGGTGTTGGGCAAAACAAATTCAAACCCTTCAGTTATAGGTAACTTTCTTATACTATTTCTTTGGTCATTTCCTCTCCTTCCATTTTCTCTATTCTTTCTGAAACTCATCAGCCATCTTTCTCTCCCTCCAATTACCATCTTCTTGTCTTCTGACATGCATGAAATTGTCTTCTATTTTCTATAAGACTATCTCAATATTATCTTCCAAACTTTCCATTGTAGTTTTTATGTATGCTAATGTGTATTTATTTTAAGGGTTCCCTTTTATTCTATGAATATCCCTTTTTTATAGACTCTTAATTCTTATTTTGTGGAGTAATAAATATATTTCTCTTAACTGAGTATATTTTCTCAGTTTCTCCAAGTTTTTCTCATTATCCTATTTGTTTTCATGTTGGACATGTTCAAATGTCTAGTAATCCTTTAATGCCTGTTCATATTTAAGAATGAAGTGTTAAAAAGCCAGTTAAAAGTTTTGTCAAATGGTGGACTTGCCTCAAGTTTGATCTGGCTGAGCTATTTCATTGGGAGAACTTAACTAGCAGCTGTAGTCTTTTCTCTTGAGCAGGTTAGTTACCCTAGAAAGGGATCTTCTATTCTCCTGCCTGGAAGTTCTTAAGGCTAGCTGCCCTCTAAATAAGGAAACTGGATTAGGAGTCTCAGAGTTTGGTATTTAGACTTTCCAAACCCTGTTTTCACTAAAATATTTGCAGTAGTGTGCTGGTAAATTGGCTCTTAAAAAAAAACCTGGTAAGTAGCATTTACCAATGTCATTAGTGTTAAAGTTCAGCTACCATGGTCAATTTCAAACTACCACTGGTTTAACAATGAGCTCACAAAATGACAACAGCTCTAACAACCACTCTCTCTGGTACAAGTGGTTTCCAGCACACCATTGGATTTCCCAACCTCAGCTGTCCCTCAAACTCTCTAACATAAACCTCCAGTCTTCTGCCAAGTAGGGAGACAACCAGCATCTATTTGTGCAGGACAGGGAAGAGAATCTGGAGGTGCAGTAACGATCTTCTAGTTTTGGGCTTCAGTTATGCACTCTTACTTCTAGAGGCACATGATGCTTGCAACTCCCAACCGTTATCACATCTTTGACTTGGGTTTCTACTTTCTCTCATTTGTTAAATAAATTACTAATTTTCCATCTGGTTCCCTTTTAAAACTTTATTTTATTGTTTCCTCTCCCTATTTCCTTCTCCCTGTGGATTTTTTTAATATCATTTTATTGCAGTTTCAGAAGGAAATAGAAGTGAACGTGTGTGTTCAATTCAACATGTTTAACCAGAAGCCCTGACCTGGCACTATCTGAACTTGCAGAGTCTGAACACATTCATTGTTAATCATTCACTAATTTAATAAAATTCAATGAACTCCTATTATGTGCCAGATACTCTTTTAGGTTCTTATGTTAAATGTTAGCAAAAATATTACTCTTCTCATGGAATTTATACTCTATCAGGAAATTATTTGGTATCATGTGCATCTGGATCAACAAATCTGAAAACCATTCTTTAAAAATGGATATTGTGGAAAGCCAAAATAAAACCATCTGTTAATGCTTTAATATATCAAAAATTAAATAAATTATCCTGGTTAATAATATTAATGCTCTAACTAGAGAAGGAAACTAAGTAAATTATTCTTACTTTTACTTATTATTCTATGACTATACCAGCATAACTATACTTATATCTGGACTAAACCATAATGAAATCACAATAGAAAATATTCTCTATCATGAGAACTTAGGTGTCTATGCTCCAAATGGCACTATTAAAAAAATAAGACAGAATGACAGCATGCCTGCAGAGCACTGAAAAAGCAACAGGCCATTATGAAAAGTAATGATCCCTTTCAATAGAGGTGGAATTAGAATGCTCCTCAAGAAAACACTTAAAGATATCTACACAGTTCAACATTAATATTAATATTAATATTTTGTTATACTACATATCACTGATTCTTCAACACCAGTCTGCAAATACTGACACATGACAAAATTTCACTAGTCCGTGGCAAAAAATGTCAAAATGTCATCAGATGTCTTTTCTTGTAAAGGACTGTCCTTTATCCTGGGATTATATCCTTAATATACTTTTGATGTTAAAAATGTTCTCTTATAAAATGAAAGTGACAGATGGTACTGTATATTTTTAATTCCTTTACTTATCAATTCTACCCTATTTTTGGCAATATTTGCTTGAAATTTTATATGAAATCTGGTTTCTCTACGTAGTATCAAGGCTCAGGTAATAATGGTGCTAATTAAAGAGGAATTTGAATTACCTAATATATTGGTAGTTACAGTTAAAAAATCCTGGAACCATAGTTACAATCATAATTAACTCAAAGGAACACATAGTACTATTATATATATTTATGACCACTGCAGGCCCTGTAGAATTCAACAATACATAAGCATTGGATTTAGAGCTCATGAAGGGCAATTTAAAAGTCACAGTCTTCATATAACTAATCTAACAAAAATGGCAGCTCTCATAGATCCAGGAAAAATACATTAACAAAGTAATGTTGCAGAAATAGTGCTGGAGTAGAATCAGGGCAAAGACTTAATTATGATTTTACCACTAATTATAAAACCTTTAACTACATCACTTATACTTTCTGCATTGCTATTTCATCATGAAATGAAATGATTGGATTGGCTAATCTTTAATGTTTTGTTCATTCTAAAAATCTATGTTTCAACTCCTTTAAATAAATTAGGAGACAATCCTGGTAACTAACGCTCATAAAAAATTTGGGTAAATTACATATGTTTCTTGAGAGGTTCAACATATTAGACAAATATTCCCAGCTATCCACCTAAATGGTGGGTGGAGGAGGTAGGAGGATACTCGCTTATAACTGGACTGTTAGAGAAATTCTTTTCTAATCTTTCCTTGCAATAGGTGAAGAGTTAGGAGGAAGGAAAGGTTTGACTCTAGCACATCTCTTCCCACTCCTTCTCCTGGTCTAACTCCTCGAGTATTGAGGACAGGTAAGAGAAATAGAGAAAGTAAAACTCTCTACATGACTGGTCATAGAACATCAACTAAGGAGATGAATTGTCCATCTTTCAGGTTGGGTCTCTGTTTCCATTCAATGATGATGGACTCAGCATAATTTGTGAGTCCCAGAGCAAAATGAGAAAATGAAGGAAAATAAGGGCTATTAAATATACTAAAATACAAAACTTTCTTTACAGCCCTTCCCTTTCTCCCTACCTCTCTTCCTCTTTATCTTTCCCTGCCAACCTATCATGGTGCTTTTTATGTTCTCTTTAATGTCATGGTCCCCTGGACAGGAAGATACTCACAGGGCAAATGCAGTTCTTCATAGGAAACTCAGCACAAGTGAGATCCACCAGCTACTGGGTTCTACCTCCTGCAAGCTGACGGACCCTTGTACTCTGTCCTAGCTGGGAGTGGTGAGGTCAATTTCTAGATCTCATGGGCCTTCTGCCCCAAAGCATTGCAGATGGGTAACCCACAAGAGATTGCAATTGCCAGGCAATGATGCACCTCAGTACCTGGACTGGGGACTCACTCTCCACCCAGTCACCTAGCTAACAGGTTTAGGAATTGCCAGGCTGGGACAGAGGATGCTGAAGAGCACATGGACTCGACCCAGACACTCCCTGCTGCATGTAGACCTTCACCAGGGGTACAGTAACAATACAACACAGGCCTCTCTCCAGTGTCACCCAGTAGACACACAGCAGCAGTGAGACAGGAGCAGGGAGATTGAGGACAGGTAGGGCCTAGGGCACCAAAGAGTGGAAGAGCCAGCAGCCAAGAACCAGTCCTAGGAGGCAGTGGGAGAGAGAAGAATGCCTTAGCTGAGGCTCCGAACCCTTGCCTAGTACATACTCCATTTTCCTATCAGATTTAACTTATAAATTCAAAGATACAAATCAATAAAAACTTCAAGACAATGACCACAGAATATTAAACCTGAAGTACAAGCCCCTTCTAACTATGGGTCCTTCTGTAACTGCCCTGGTTACATACCCATGAAGCTGGCTTTAGCCTCTGCTGATGGTGGTCTTTACCATGGAGGTGACTGTAGTGTTCTTGGAAATGTTCAGACTTCACCCTTTATTACCAAGAATTTTTTAGAGTGGCACAAATATCTTCCACAGGCCACCCCAATGGAACATGTCCCCAGCTCCTTCTCAAGTCGGACATCCTGTCACTTGGCCTAGTGGCACACAAGACAGTTCTTACCCTTCCGTTACCCTTCGTGTACCATCATGTGAGCATGGAACCAAAGAACCCTAAGCCAGGGAGCCACCGAGGTTCTCTCTTCGTACCCCTCCAGGGCCATATAGAATGGAACAAGCATAATACACTTCAAGCCCCATGGGTGCAGATCACCTGTTTGTCTTCTTTTATCACCTTCAATTCTGCTTCCAGCTCAGTATTAACTTGAGTCTGTTGCTCAAGTAACTGCTGCATATGTTGGAAAGAAATGATGATATCCTTTAAAAAAGTATAAATATGATATATCAATTGAAAAATTTGAGATAGGTATATTTCTGAATTCATTCTCATATTCTGTTTTCTTATAATCTTTATAGTTTAGCTTCAACACTGTAATAAACAATATATTGAAATAAACTAATGGCACATTTTACTAATTTAATACCTAATTAATTTATATTACATGTTTTCTTAGCAGGTACTGTTTCTAAGAGTTCCTCAAATAACTAACAGTTTTTGAAATGGACTATGCATTCTGAAACACTGCTGAAAAATGTAAAGAATTCAAAACTAAAACTTTTAAGTGCCTGCCCAAAGTAGTAAATTAATCACTACTAAAATGTCATATTGTTAACTGGCTAGGATGTCATTGCATGTATTCAGAATCAAATGGAGGAAAAACAGAAGAGAAAAAAGAAACAGGAGTTTTCTTTCACATACTTTTTTTTTTTAAATAGAAGAATCACAAATATCACATCAATTCAAATGACAGCAGGCTGTTCTGCAAATACAAGCTCTAAGCACACATATGTTTCAATAATTCTCTTAAAGATAGTAATAAACTATTGAGGAAAAAACTGATTTTTATTTATAAAATATTTTAACGCAATATTTTTTCCAGCTTTACTGAGATACAATTTACATACTACAGCACTGTGTAAGCTTAAGGTGCACATATGATTTGATGCATGTTTATATCCCTAAATGATCACCACAGTAAGGTTAACATCCTTATCGCCTAACATAATCACCATTTTTTTGTGTGTGGTGAAAATATTTAAGATCTACTCTCTAAGCAACTTTTGAATATATAATGCAGTATTGTTACCTGAAGTCATCTGAGGTACATTAAATCCCCAGAATTCACTCATCTTAAAATTGGAAGTTTGGACCCTTTGATGAACATCTCCCCATTTCTCCTCTGATTTATTTTTTAATGGGAGTACATAGAGACCTGGCTAAAAAGGTACACATGTATCCATTCAATATACACTAAGTGCTCACTAGGTGCTAGGAATCAACCTAGGCATGGTTCCCTTTGTTATTTGACTTATTTCTCACATTGCATCTGGTTTTTAAAAATATTTACTGGCTTCCAAAATATGGTTGCTTGCCTGTTTTTCTTCTTGAATTTGGGTAATCTCTTCATGAATCTTCTTATTTAATTCCAATTCCTTAAAAAATTTGAATAATTTTAAAGTTATGATATCTAGAAAATTCAGCAGGTCCTATATTCAGATTATTGCTTAACAAATTTGGGAGTGTATGACCTACTATTACTCCAGAGTACCATTTGTTTGCTGTCGAAGCAGTGACTCTAGTGAACTGAAAATGCTATTAGATACCCCACTTAGGCTGGTACAAACTTATAAAGGTTAATGTTAAAAACTAAAGAATTTCTCATCTCCAAAAGCTTTCTGGAGACACCATTGTATCATAAGATTACCCAACACTGTATTAAAGTGGACATAAAATGGTTATAGCCAAATTTAATTGTCCTAAAGTCAACTCTTGCTGATAATGGCAAAAATTATCTAATCATTTTTTTAATGATTCATAATACTTTACAATTATATTGACTTTATAGAAGGAACTTTTTGTATTATAATCCTAAAATTCTCAGAAATTAAAAAAATATGTCAATTTTATAAATATAAACACAATTAAATACCATGTTGAGTCTTTCTTGAAGTTCTTGTAATTTCTGTTCTTTAATTGTTAAATTGATGTTTTCTTCTCTGATACTATGTTGACATGTGACCTTGGACTTTATCAAGTCTGAGGTTACCTTTTTTAGTTCCTTAACATAAGAAACATCAAACAGAAAATTTAGTATTAATATATTTCATCAAAGCAAGGTGCTTTTCTGACAGTTTTAAAGTCTGTTTTTAAGCCTATCATTAAAATTTACTGTATTTTATATGTCAAGATAATACTACCAGTCCATCAAAGCCTACCTCCCCTCGTACCCTTGAAAGATAAGCAGCCAAGGTGGGAATGCTGTTTGTGGCTACAGAATAGGCAAACACAATGATGCAGGGATAGAGTATGATCTGCTCTTAAAATAGTGAACTAAATGAACTAACCCATCAAAAGTAAGGTGTTTTCATTCACTGCTTATTCAACAAATATATTCTGAGATAAAAGGATAAAAGATTATCAACTCCCAAGCTCATTAGCATCTAATAAGAAAAATTCATGTAAAAAATAATTACAATATAATGTGATGAGTGCTATATTATAGGAAGGTATAGAAGCGTAAGGAAGGAGAGAGCTTGGTTGAGGGTGTTAAGAAAGCATTATTCAGAAAAGTGGCATTTAAAGATAAATTTTTGCAGAGGACAAGAAAGGAGTACACATTCCATGCAAAAAGATGCAATATGCACAAAGGTACAGAACCATGAAAGAGCATGCTCTTTTTAAAATACAAAACAAATACAATATGGCTGGAGCTAATATGGGTAAAAGGGAAGAGTATTGTTACTTGTGGCTAGAAATTTGGCAGGGTTCACATATTGAAGGGGATTTGCAGGCTACGCTAAAGAGTTTTAGTTTTATCCTATAGGTAATGAGGAATTAAGTCACTGAAGGTTTTCGAGTAGGAGAATGACATAACAAGATTTGCATTTCAGAAAAATAACTCTGGCATCATTGCAGAGGATTAGGATTAAAGAGGATATATATAAAAGACTTAATTTGTGAAGTTACATGTCCACTGAGTTTCCATCCAAACACACAAAAATTCTGAAATACAAATTTCTGAATTGGTATAATTTATTATACTGCTGTCTTGTGTATATTTACTATATTAAATTCTCAAGGAACTGATTTCCATATCCTTGACTACACAGCATCTGAATTCCCTTTGAATTGCGGAGGAACTCTACATCAAAAGCTTACTGTCCACTAAAGAAGCCGGAAATGCCAGAGACTAGCTTTATAAAGCATGAGACCATGCTCTGCTAATCAGATGCACACCTGTCTTGGACACTAGATCAGAAACTAGTATCACAAAGAACAGGAATGTTGTAAATCCATCTGGTAGACAGCTGGAGCATTGCTAGAAACTTCAAGCTTCCATGGCCACAGTGATACCGCTGTGGCCAAGAAGTGGGTGATGGTGCAAGCTGCAGTGTGCAGTACCCAGCAGTGGAAGGTGGTTTTATGCTGTGGTCTTGGGTACTGCATAGCTTCCTTTGTTTCTGACCATTTTTCAAGTCTGAGATGACCAAGATCCAAATTCTTTGTTGACAAAATAATCTTAAAATTAAAAATCCTAATATACCTCAATTTTTAAAGGTTGTATTTAAGAACTAAATAAAAAACAACAAACACCTCTCTTGAAGAAAAAGCTTGGTTCATCAGAGTGGTGACGCTACAGGAAATTTTTATTTTCTTCATTGTGCTTATTAGTACTTTCTCTTTTTTTCTTCCTGTATCAGTTTTAAGAGACTCGACACAGGTACCATCACTTACAGTTATCAATTAGAGGAAAGAGGATGACAAATGACTGAGTCCTAAAGAACTCTAACATTTGTAGGTTAGAGAAGAAGGCTGTAAATGGCATTTATCTGTGGTGGGAGGAAAACCAAGAGAGTGCAGTATCAAGGAAGCTGAAAATGGAGCACAAAACAGGGCTGCCAATACCTCCAGAGCTCTACATGTTACAGCTTCAGCTGCCTAGAAAGAAACTTGCCCAATTATCTCTACCCCTAGTTCAAAATATAGGAGAAAGGATTCCTTGGTCTTAGTTCACATAACCCTTTTAGATATGTGCACTGCTAAAGTAGCCATGTGAATCAAGAGATAGGGCTTTATGCTTTTATTCTCACAAAAGCAGGCAGACAAATTAATGTCTGGTAAAAAGAGAACAATCAGCATGTATTGAGTAATGAAACAATTTGGAATGGAGGAGGGAGGCCTTGAAGAATGCCTAGTATATTGGTTATCCTCCATTTGTCCCTCCTGATTCACTCCACCCTTTCTCCATACTGCTCTGTGCCCTGTGTGCCTGACACCTGTAGATACAGCAAAGTTTCCCTGCCATCTGGCTCCTGGTTGGGTCCAGTCTGTGGGAAGCACCAGTCAGTCAATATGCTGGGAAGAGGGAGATTGAGGTTATTAAACTGCCTTCCCACATAGCCATAAATTGGCCAATAGCTCTGTACCTTTACCAAGTCACAGCTTCTGAAATGCAGCTTTCTTCTACACCTATATGAACAGCACTCTCCAGTTCTGGCAGCTGCTTCCTTCCCTGCCCTTTCACTTTTCGGTGGCATAATCACTCCCTCATTGCTTCTAACCTTGGGGTGCTTCATTATCCTTTGTTGGTTTCCCTTAACTCTGCCCATAACTCTGTAAATAGCTTCTTCATCAAACTTTTCTCAATTACTCATTCCTATACACCATCTGTTTCCTGCCTAAATCCTGCTTAATATAAGTAAATTAAGAAAAAGCATTCCAAGTAAGGGTAGGGATATGGAGAAGAGCAAAGGCAAGAAGGCAGGAAGAATTAAGAATTATGATAATGACAACAAAGATTTTGGATTAAATAGAATTGAAAGATGCTTGTTAGGAAGTAGTAGAAAACAATGTTGAAGACGTAGAATGGGGTCAGACCATGGAAGCTTTGGAAAGCCAATTAAAGAAGTTCAGGACTAGCAAGAAGAAAACAAATACTACCGTTTGCAACAACATAGATGGAGCTAGAGGGTATTATGCTCAGTGAAATAAGCCAGGCGGAAAAAGACAAGTACCAAATGATTTCACTCATCTGTGGGGTGTAACAACAAAGCAAAACTGAAGGAACAAAACAGCAGCAGAATCACAGACTCTGAGAAGGGACTAGCAGTTAAGAAAGGGAAGGGGTTGGAGAGGGTGGGTAGGGAGGGAAGGGAGAAGGGGATTAAGGGGCATTATAATTAGCACATATAATACAGGGAGGTCACAGGGAAGGCAATACATCACGAAGAAGACAAGTAGTGACTCTGTAGCATCTTATATGCTGATGGATAGTGATTGCAATGGGGTTGTGGGGGGACTTGATAATATGGATGAATGTTGAAATCACAATGTTGCTCATGTGAAACCTTCATAAGATTGCATATCAATGATACCTTAGTAAAAATTTTTAAAAAGTTCAGGACTAAATCAGTATGTTGTACACCTTAAACTTACACAATGTTATGTCAATTATGTCTCAATAAATCTGGAAAAAAGAGTTTGGGACTGGATTTGGTAAACAAATTCAACCTACTATTCCTTCACACAGAAGTGCTACATTAAACTAGTAACTTAGTAAAGTTAATTTGGCAAAAAGAGTGAATAAAAACTGGAGAAAAAAAAAAAACACTGACAAAGAGTCTGTTTTATTAATCCAGGAATGAGATGCTGAATGTCTGCACTATTGAGAAATGAAGAATGGAAAATATGAGACATTCTAGAGGAAGGTATAATTGAATAGACAAAGGGGAGTAAAGAAAAAGATGATTTTTGTTACTATCTTAAAGAAGTCCTTCATTTGTATTTTTTGGAGTTATAGAAGGTTACACATGATGAATTCCCCAAAATGAAGTTTCAATGTACCACTGATGGTTTACCTTCACACTCAGTAAGATGGTTTCCTTTGAAAGGAGAATTGTATGAGTTTTCTGAGAGTGGGCAGGAGAGATGGTGGCAGAGAATGAAGAGTTAATTCAATGTGTGCCACCCTGCTGACCCTGAAGTTATGATAAGTCATAAAAAGAGATGACCTGCAGGCAGTTGAAAAATCCAGAGGTAGAAATTATGAGAAATGTGAGGTAAGGAATATAAATTTATTGAAATGAAGTGATTGATTGGATTAAGGAGTATTAGATAATTGGAAAAAAAATGAAAATAAAAACAGAGACCGTAGAATAGAGCTTTGGAGGAATGGGAGGAAAAAGAAGATAATCAAGAGAACCAGAGGAACTTATTTGTACCAAAAGACCCTTAAAATGTGAATGATCACATGGATGTTATAAAACTAATACATTTTATATTTTAAAAGCACCTACCATTTTGAACAAAACACAATATTCTGTAATGAAAAGCACAAAGTATCAGTATTAGGATACTTTGATTACATGTATTAGAAAACCATACTTAAACCAACTAAAAGAGACATTTTTTCACATAACAGAAAGTCCAAAGTTGGGCAGGTTCTTGTGTTGGTTGATTGGAATACTCAAAGACTAGAGTATTATCAAAGACTAGGATATTTTCATTTTCCACTTTACATTCTTGGGACTGTCCTTTTGCTTGGGTGTTGGGGCTGTGGCAAGAGACGAATTTAGGTATTACATAGCAACTGTCTCTTCCTGGAGCTCCTTCTAAACAGTAAGAAAATTTTTCTCTGAACCACCTCCTGCTGGCCAGAACTGGAGCACATGCTCATCCTGAACCAAACACCAGCATGAGGAACGGTGATGATATTAACTGGCTCCAAGACGACTGATCATATGAGGTGGCATAATCACTCCCTCATTGGGCTCCCTAAAAATCACTCCCTCAGGTGGGCTGAATATTAGAGAATTATCACAATGTCCATTACAAGAAGAATTTCAGCTGCCATTTTAAAATTAACATGTTATTTAGAATATTACTACCTACAAATATTATACAGTACAAAATAAGGATAAATGGATAATCTTTTTTACAAGTTGCTTGACACTGAGTAATTCACCTACTCTCTTTGGGTTTCAGTTCCCTTTCCCAAAAAAGCAGCAGTTGGATCAAGTTAACAGTTACTTAACTGTGCTCTGAGAAATCCAAGAATTTCCATGGAGCCCCTTCACAATTGCTAATAGAGAAGAAAGAGCCAGCAGGTACAGCTCCAGTGTTCCTCCAGCCCTCCCTTCAAGCACAAGCAGCTCTACCTTAACACTGAGCTCCACATCTTGGTTAGACGGTTCTGCAGCTCAAAGAAAGACAAATACTGGAGTAGATGATCCTACGATTCCATGAAATTAGGGATGATCTGAAGATAAATAATCTACGAAGAGCTAGAATTTGTAGACACAGAATGTAGTTCAAGCATGAAGGGAGAAAGAGTAATTGAGGAGTCAAAGGAATTTCAGACTTTCTTATCTGACAAGCAAAAGGCAGATGAGACTGCATTGTCTTGAAAGCCTACCCAAATAAATAACCCACCTAATTATGGTGCAGAAAAGCTGAATCCATCAAAGCTGCCTTCATCTTAATTTTAATCTAATTTCATTTGCAAGTAATAATAATCCCATAAATTTCTGCATGTTAAACTTTCTTAAGTGCTTGCCTATGCATTTACTTTTTGTATTTATTACACATATGTAAAATACGAAAGGTAGACATCATTACACTCATGTTGCAAGTGAATAGAAAAGAGGGAAAAAGAAAAAAGCAAGACAGTATGGTTGACTATGTTGAAAGGCTTAGTTGTAAAGAAAGAAGTAAAGTGATGAGATAAGATATACAGAATAAATGATAAATATTATGCAGGGAACTACAGGCCAATGAACTGGTTAAGGTAGTAGGGACTGAAGGACTAGAGGTATTTGGGAGTGTAATGGTACAGATGATAGAAAAGGATGCTCTGATTAGAGAAAGAAGAGGGCTGAATCAAAGAGCCCAAAGGAAGCAGTGTTTAATGAATTTCAAAGTAGGGACATGTTAGTTTACAGAACTACTGCGTCAAGGCATCTAAGGAGCTGGTAGCTCAAGAGTATGTATAGTTGACAATTTCCCCTTCTAAAAAATATATGCTTTTTAATGGGGCATAAAAGAAAGAAAAAATTTATGTGGATAAATTAGTTAGGCTGCTACTATTATCAGTTGAGTGGTTAAGATCCCAGATTCTGGAGCCAAATTTATCAGGTTCCAGTCTGCTCTCTTCCCTTGGAGTGTAACTGCAGGTAACTTACTTCATTCTGCCTCAGGTTCCTCATATGTAAGGTGGGGATATAATTTTTCTTAAATATGATTATTTTCTCTTCTTTTAAAATAAAGTAGCTGAATTTTTAACAGTGGTATGGATATTAAGTATTCTGTTACATATTTAAAGAATTACATTCATTCTTTCATAGCTGGTAACAAGAGTTTTCTTGTAGACTATGACCTCCCTCAAGGAAAGGTACCATGTTTCATACTTATCCCAAAGCACCTAATACATTCAGGCCTCTAAGAAGAACTAAATATTATAATGAATGTCAGAAGAAAAGAGTAGTGAACATGATATGAAAATAAATGTGACCTATCTTTATCCAAAATAAGATTTGATAAAAATCAAAGGTTAATTTATTCAGGATAAGGTAAATGGCAATAAAAATACTTGGTAAGATTAGTCAATGGCACCTAAAGAGACTACTGTAAATGACACAATAGTTCATTGTCAGCTGAAAGACTGCACAAGAAGTAGCAAATAGAGGGATAGTGCTGAGGGTTTGAAGTATAAGGATAGCTAACTGATCAAGCTAGCTTCACTCCATTCAAGGTAACCACCACCATCACATTACAGATAGGTGCTCCTCATTTAAATGTGAACAGACCAGCACAATGTTCTTACTAATAGAAAAATAAAGCTTAATAGATGGTGAGTCATGAGCATTTTGTTAACTTTAAAGAAACAGCATATTTTTTTACTAGAAAATAAATTTGATTATTGTAACTAAGAGTCCTAAACTTGTGAGCCTAAAATAGGTTAATTCAAGTACACATCCAAGAATATGTTAGAAAATATCAATCATAAAACTAAGACAGTATAATATAACATTATTCTGATTCATAAGCCAGATTGATCTTTGACTTAACAAAATTATTGAATGAAAGAATTTATTGATCTTACTATTTCCACCCTAGAAAAATATTTGAAAATATGGGATAATAATTAACTTGACTGTGGATAGTAACAGAAAAATAAATCAAGTCATTTCAGAAATTAATTTAATGTCTCAAAAATTTAGGAGATTACTTCAAAGGAAAAATAACTATTAGAGGACCTCAAAGTTTTATTCTCAACTCAGGTTTATAGTATATCCAACTAATATTTACATTATTACTCAGTAGTTAGTCAAACATCATCTAAATAATGAAAATAAATCTTTCATGCTCAAATAATTTTATTTTTAAAAAAGACACCAATGATATTTGGTTTAAAATAATATACATCTTTCTTTACCAAATAGAGTTTCCAAAAATGCTTTCAAGATGCTTTTCTGTGCACTAAAATAATTTCTAGAAGAAAACTTGCAACATTTTTTTAATTTAATTTTTTAATATTAGATTTTCTTAAAGCAAGATACACCTGTATTGTCATAAATACACATTCAAACAACTTAAAAGTAAAATATCAGAGGCTTGTTTTATACTACTGATCTGTTCTAGGTTCATTCTTAAGACACAGTGCCTTATTGATAGAAGTACAATTAAACTGAGGTATATGGCTAAAATTTACATTCACATGAAGTGGCTTATAATTCTCTGAATTAATAAAGGAGAACTGGTTTTCTAAAAGTTTTATTTTTGCCTTCAAGGTTACAAAGTACAACAAACTTTTGCATCTTTTTATATTTTTCAGAAACTGAAAATATAGAGCTGTTATAATCTGCCAAGTTTTATAGGAGATACTTTAAAATGCATGAATTCTTATTACAACAATTGTTATGAAACAACAGGAAAATGGGAAGAGGAGAGGTGCAAACCCAGTATACGGCTCACAGAAGTAAAAACAAAACATTTCTTATGTCTTTTTGTCTCATATAGTAATCAATCTTAAAAGCATAATAAATTAAAATCAGAGACCTCTATGTAATGATTTTCCACTGAAAATATGCTTTTGATTTTATAACCCTTTAGCTTTTAAATATCCTGAACTTTTAGTACTTTGTCTGTTTTCTAACCATTTTATTCAAACCTTTTAGTGCAGCAAATAAGCAGCACAAGCTTTGATCTCATTAAATTACAACTTACAGTTCCTAGAGTCATAAATATTGTGGGCTTTTTTCCTTTACCCCTCCTTTTCTGGTATGGGGTAGTCTGTTAAATATCACTATCTCCTTGAGTACTCTGACGTTTACTCAGACAAATAGCAGAGGTTATGAATGCTGTTCACAGATAGTATCAGGAATTCTTCATGATTGCCATAATGGTGAACCCAACATTCAGAACTGTAAGAACTATTTTTAAGGACCTATCTAACTAAGTTTGGTCTGTTTAACTTTGTTCCACAAAAAAGAGAATTCCATCTTACCACAAACCAATAACCTAACTCTTCTGGACAAAATCATAGAATAGTATAAAAGAAAAACAAATTATCCTTGGGAAAATTAATGATTCTAAGTTTTAAATAAGTGATATAACCAATGTTACTAGACTTGGTTAGCTTCTGAAAAAGAAAATCAAAGAAGAAAAAGCTTTTCATAAAGTTAAAAAATGAAGACTACATTAAAAAATACAAACACAAAATTACTGTATCTAGGATATCTAAATATTAAAAATTGGCTTTTAAAATATATTTTTTAATTCTTACCCTTTTAAACAATTTGGACTTGGAATTCTCAAATGTAGTGAAACTCTCACTTTACCTTTCCATACAATCTCTCTTCCAAGAACTAACTAGCAGCACGATCACTGAATATAATGCTTTCCTAGAGTGATGGGCCACAACTGCATGACACATCATTATATTTAGGTAGCCCTGGCCTAAGACTAGGGAAAAAAGGGCAAGCATGCTCATAAGCAACACTATTCCACTCACGCATACAAAGAGACATTCTTCACCCTTTTATATAAATCTGCCAAGAATATCTCCATGGAGTTACATGAACCTGGTGTCCATTTACAGGTCAATCTTTAACTATACATTAGAAATAAAATGATCTATTATACTACAATGAAACATTTGTCTTTAATGAGAAAGATACATAATTTAGTACAGAAATTTATGAGGTATAATATTTTCATAATAATGTAAAAGCTAATTGAATAAAGGCATATGAATATCTTAATATAATCATGAAATTAATGATTATTTAATTGCTTAAGTCATTGATAAAAACATCAAGTAAAAAATAAATGAACCACAGTGTTGTTTATGTGAAATCATCATAAGATTGTGTATCAATGATATGTTAATTAATAAAATAAATACATGAACCAAAGAGACATGACCAAAAATGTACTCATTCACAACTACTCTGTTTTTATTTAGATTTGCATTTGAAGTTTACATTGATAAAACTGGTCCTTTTAATAATTCTATGATTTGAGATTAAAGACAATTTTTTCAAATTACAGCATTCCTCCCTATATTAAAAAGATCCATTTTCATATTCTAGAATGTGACTAAAAAGAAATGTTCTCTATATATAAATTGTCCTCTTAGGTAATGTGTTGGATAGACATAAGAGTTATATGGACTAGGAACATATGCTTATTACAACACACTCTATTGTTCTGTGTAAAGCTGCATCTATGCTCTTACTTTCTGATCTGTTGGGTGTAAGAATAGAGTCCAGAGAATATAAAGCCAATTTACTGGCAGTTATAAAATCAAAAACCTAGATATAATAGTGTTACAAATATTTAATAGTCTTTGAATTCTGACTTAGTGTTTAGAAACTACTTCAATCTTTATTCCAAGTGGTCCTGCTTTCTTTGAAATAATGCCAAAACAGAAAGTAATAAAATAGTTTCTGATTTCTGAACTATGCATTATTATAGTAATGTCATTTTTCTGGTCGCACATAATACTCCTCTTCAAAACTGTTATCTCTAGCCCTAATAAATTTTAATTTCAGTAGAACTAATAGATAAATGTAAAAACAGAGGGACTTCGGTTTCCAGTTCAGCATGTAAGAAGTTTAAAAGTCTCCACTTTGTCCTAACAACGAGTAAAAAGCTAAACAAACTGAAAATCAACAACTCTTCTTAGATCTGTTAGAGAAATAAGATCACAAGGCAAAGTACTGCTTCAAAAAATTAGAGACAGGCAAATACAAAGAATCGCAAACTACCTGAACAGAAACCCACAAATAGAACCCTACATAGAAACCAGTGTCAGGGTAGGAAAACCTGAACAGTAACTAATTAATTCCCAGAGACATAGTGTGGACAACTCTGAGAGTTAAAAAAAAATTCAAGGGAACACACTTTTGTGAATTTCACCACCAGGTCCCCCAAAAATGATTATCAGAAGAAGAACCATTTTGAAATATGCCAGGGCATCCTATTCTTCTTGTCAAGGCTGCCCTCAGAAGTAACTATTTGACCTGAGCTTAAACCACCTGTGGGAAGGATAATACCCAACTCTAGCCCCGACGTCCAAATGTCCTGCACCACCTGTGTGGGAGGTGGGACACTGAGACACCCTGGTGAAGTTCACAGGCTCACCAAAATACCAAAACCTAATCTCAGGACCCCACCACCACACACACACACACACCCTAACCAACACATTGCTAAAAGGCCTATTTACTGCAGTTCCTTCTACCCAGTGTATCAGGTCTGCCTTTCAACAAAAAATGACAAGGTGTAAGAAAGACAAAAAAAACCCACAGTTTGAAGAGACTGAACAAGCATCAGAACTAAAGTCCAATATGTCAGGAATATAAGAATGATCAGATTGGGACTTTTAAAAAACTATGATTAATATGTTAAAGGCTTAATAGGAAAAGTAGATAAAACATGGGCAAACAGATAGATAATGTAAACAGAGGGAAAGAAATTCTAAGAAAGAAACAACATGAAATATTACCGATCAAAAATAATGCAACAGAAATGAAGAATGCTTTTGATGGGCTAAATACGAGATGAGACAAAGGCTGAAGAAATAATCTATGAGCTTGAGGATATAAAACAGAAATTCCAAAACTAAAAACAAAGAGAAAAAAGACTGAAAAAATGAAACAAAATATCTATCAACTGTTGGACAGCTACACAAAGTGAATATAAAGTAATGCATAATGGCATTACTAGAAGGAGAAGAAGCAATATTTGAAGCAGTATATGACAGAATTTCCCCAAAATTAATGTCAGTCACAGATCCAAGAATCTCAGAGAACATGAAGAAAGATAAATGACCAAACAAATTATACATAGTGCATATCATATTCAAACTTAAGAAAATCAAAGATAAAGAAAAAATCTTGAAAGAAGGCAGAGGGTGGAAAAAAACACCTTACCTATAGGGAAGCAGAGATAAGAAGTACATCTGACTCCTCTTCAGAAACCATATAGCTAAGAGCAGAGTGAGGTGAAATTAAAAAACACCAACCTAGAACTCAGTATCCTTCAAAATCATCCTTCAAAAGTGAAGGTGAAATACTTATAAGTTGAGTTTGTTGCCAGTAGACCTGCCTTGTAAGAAATGTTAAAAGGAGTTCTTCAGAAAGAAGAAAAATGATATAGCTCAAAAACTCTAATGTACCTAAAGAAGACAAGAGTATCAGAGAAGGAATAAGTGATGGTAAAGGAAATTTCTCTTTATTTCTCTAAATATTTTTCTAAATTATTATTCTAAATTGCTCTATCAGAAAACCACTTGTTCAAAATAATAAGAGCAGCAATGTATTTGACTATGTATGCTTATGTATGTGTGTATACATATATTCATGTATGCTTATGTACTTGTGAAATGAATAATGGCAATGACACAAGAGATGGACAGAGGAATTAGAATTATTTTGTTGTTATTAGGTACTTGCACTCCCCATGAAGTGGTGTAATATATGAAAGTAGATTTGGTTTATTGTAAATGTATTGCAAACTCTAGAGCAAACACTAAAAATAATTAAAAAAGAAGTATGACTGATATACAAAAAGGAAAGAAAACATAATCATAAAATTTTCAGTTAAAACCACAAAAGGCAGAAAAAGAGTGGAAGACAAAAATAGGAACAAAGAACAAGGGTAACAAATGGGAAACAGTACAAATATGAAAGCTCTTAATCCTACTATATCAAGAATCACCTCAAACATCAATTGTCTAAATAAACCAATGAAAAGACTGAGATTATCAGAGTGGATACAAAAAACGAGACCTAATTGTATGTTAACTGTAAGACACCCACTCTATAAAAACACATATAGATTAAAAGCAAATCAATTACAGGGAAAAAAACTAGAAAAAAACACAAACAAGGCTAAACTATATGCTACTAAACAACCAATGAGTTCAACAAAGACACAGGTAATGAAAAAATACATGGACACAAACAAAAACAGAAACACAATGGTTCAAAATCTATGCAACTCAGCAAAACCAGTCCTAAGAGAGTTTAGAAACAAAGGGCTACCTCAGGACACAAGAATGATCCCAAATAAACAATCTCACCTTAAAACTAAACAATTAGAAGAACAAAGTTCAAAGTTAGTAGAAGGATGGACATAACAAAAATCAGAGCAGAAATGAATGAGATGGAGAATAAGAAAACAATAGGAAAAAACTCAATGAAACTAAGAGCTGGTTCTTTGAAAAGATAAACAAAATTGGTAAACCTTAGCCAGAATCATGAAGAAAAAAAGAGAGAGGACTTTGATAAAGACAATCAGAAATGGAAGAAAAGTTACAAGTGACACCACTGAAATACAATTATAAGAGAGTACAATGAAAAATCATATGCCAACAAAATGGACAACCTAGAAGAAATAGATAAATTCCTAGAAACAACAATCTTCCAAGACTGAAACAGGAAGAAATAGAAAATCTAAACATTGTGATTACTAGTAAACAAATTGAATCATTAATCATTAATCAAAAATCTCCCTACAGACAAAAATTCAGGATGATACAGCTTCATAGGTGAATTCTACTAAATATTTTAAAAAGAGCTAATACCTACGCTTCTCAAATTATTCTGAAAAAACTGAAGAGGAAGGAAAGCTTCCAAATTCATTCTACAAGGCCAGCATCACCTTGATACCAACCAAAGACACAACAAAAAAAAAGGACACAAATATAAAAATCCTCAACAAAATATTAGCAAACCTAACTGAAAAATACATCAAAAGGATGGATCATTTATCATGACCAAGGGGGATTATTCCAGGGATGCAGCGATGGTTCAATATCCACAAAACAATTGATATGATACACCACATTAACAAAAAGGATAAAAACCATATGATCACAATCAATAGATGCTGAAAAAGCATTTGACAAAATTCAGCAACATTCATAGATAAAAACTCTCAATATAGTGGCCATATATGACCAACCAACAGCTAACATCATACTCAACAGTAAAAAGCTAAAAGCTTTTCCTTTAAGACCAGAAGATAAGATGCCCACTCTCACCAGTGACTTTTATTCAATATATTACTGGAAGTCCTAGCCATAGCAATCAGACAATAAAAAGAAATAAAAGGCATCCAAATTTGTGAGGAAGAAATAAAACTGTTGCCATTTGCAGATGACATGATGCTCTTTATAGAAAACCCTAAAGGCTCTACCAAAAAAAACTACTAGAATAAATGAATTCAGTAAAGTTGCAGGATTCCAAATCAGTTTAGAGAAATACACTGCATATCTATACACAAATAATGAACTAGCTGAGTGAAAAATCAAGAAATTAATTTATTTACAATTGTATAAAATAAAATACATAGGGTTCCTTCCACCCAGAGACATAGTGTGGACAACTAAAAGACCTGTACTCTGAAAAATATTAAAAAATTGATGAAAGAAATTGAAGAAGACATGAGTCAATAGAGAGAGATTCCATGTTCATGGATAGAAAGAATTAATATTATTTAAAAGGCTATATTGCCCAAAGTAATTTACAGATTCCAGATTCAATGCAATCCTCATCAAAATACCAATGGCATTTTCCATGGACCTAGACCAAATAATCCTAAAATTTGTATGGAATCACACCTACACACACAAAAAAAGCAAAAAAACAAATACCCCAAGCAATCTTCAGAAAAAAGAACAAAGCTGGGGGTATCATGCTCCCTGATTTCAACCTATACTAGAAAGCTAAAGTAACCAAACAGTATGGCACTGCCACAAAAAGAGATATGTAGGCCATTGGAACAGAATATAGAGCCCAGAAATAAACCCACACCTATATGATCAATCTATGACAAAAGAGACAAGAATATACAGTGGGGGAAAGACAGTCTCTTCAATAAATGGTGTTTAGAAAACTGGACAGCTACATGCAAGAGAATGAAACTGGATCACTGTTTTATGCCATAAACAAAAATAAACTCAAAATGGACAAAATACATAAAACTAAGACCTAAAGCCATAAAACTCCTAGAAGAAAACTAGGCAATAAACTCTTGAACATCAACATCAGTAATTTTTTCTGGATACATCTCCCCACACAAGGGACACAAAAGCAAAAATAAACAAGTTGGACTATATTAGACTACATAGTTTCTGAATGGCAAAGGAAGCCATTAACCAAACAAAAAGTCAATATACTGTATGGGAGAATATATTTGCAAATGTATCTGGTAGGGAGCTAATATCCAAAAAATATAAAGAACTCGTACAATGCAACACCAATAAATAAATAAATAACCTGATTTAAAAATGGGCAGAGGACCTGAATAGGTATTTTTCCACAGACAGACAGACAGATGGGCAACAGGTACTTGGAAAGATGCTCCATATCACTTATTATCAGGGAGATGCAAATCAAAACCACAGTGAGATATCACTTCATAGGAGTCAGCATGGCTACTATCCAAAAGACAAGAAATAGTAAGTATTGGCGAGGATGTAGAGAAAAGGGAACCCTCGTACACTGCTGGTGGCTTTGCAATTGGAGGATCACCATGGAAAGCAGTATGGAGGTGTCTCATAAAACTAAAAATATACAAATACCATACCACCCAGCGATTCCACTTCTGGGAATTTATCTGAAGAAAACAACATTTCTAATCCAAAAAGATATATGCAACTCTTATGTTTATCACAGCATTATTTATACTAGCCAAAATATGAAACAACCTAAGTGTCCATTAATAGAAGAATGGATAAAAAAAGATGTGGTACATATATACAATGGAATATTACTCTGCCATAAAAAAGAATGAAATCGTCATTTTCAACAACATTATTACCTAGAAGGTACTAATGCTAAGTGAAACAAGTATGACAGAGAAAGACATATACCATATGATTTCACTTCTATGTAGAATTGAAAAAGCAGAACAAACAAAACTGAAAGAGACTCATAAATACAGAAAACAAGACTGGTGGTTGCCACAGGGGAGGAGGTGAAGGAAGCAAAAATTAGTAGAATGTTTGTTATCTTAACCTGGGCAAAAAAATTATAAAGTGATGAGATGGAGAAGATATACCATGCCACCACTAATCAAAAGAATACCTACATATAGCAAGAATAACTATATTAATTCAACCAGAGTAAATTTCAGAGCAAAGAAAGTTATCTGGAACAAAGAGGGGCACTACATAATGATGAAGGAGTAAATACTCCAAGATATAACAATGTCTTATTATGTATCTAACAACAGAGCATCAAAATAAATGACGCAAAAACTAATTGAACTACAAGGAGAAATAGAGAACCCACTATTATATTTGGAGATTTTAATACCCCTGTGTAAGAAATGGATAGATACGCAGACAGAAAATCAGACGGGACATAGTTGAACTTAGCACCATCAATCAAATGGATATAACTGACATGTATAGGCTACTTCATCCAAAAATAGCAGATTTTTTTCTAGTTCTTCACATATACTCAACTCTTTGCTATCCTTGATCTTAGCCAAAAGACTAAAAAATAATCACTAAACACATTTGTCTTGAGACTTTTTACATGCTGTTCCCCTTCCTGAAACAGTATTCTCTTCCCTCCCCGACCCCTTTACCTCCAGTGTAATAAAGCCACCTGTTAAATGCCATCACAGCCTTTACTTTTTCTTCACAATATTTACAATAGTTTTAAATTACTTGGTATGTGATTTGTTTTATGTCTAACTCCTCCATTGGACTATAAACTTCAAAAAAATCAGGAACATGTTTTATTTTCTTCATACCTGTATCCTCACTGCCACATAGTACCTAGCACAGTCACTCGAATATTGAATGAATGAATGAATGAATGAATGGTGCTAATGCCTGATAGTGAATGTTTACTGGCTATTCATGTCAAAAAATGCATGCCACTGGTGCCAAGTCAAATAAAGAATATTTTGAAAATGGATTAGAACAAATTCATTTGTTATATTTATTGAAATCATAACTCAAAGATTATGAATCTGTATTTGAAACATCTTACTTATCTTTATATTTAAAAAATCTACTTAACATTCTGGTAATATTTCACAAAATTAATTATTTTAGGCTGTAGTTTATATAATACTATAAAACTGCATCAATCATACCTTCTTTAAACTGCATATCTCAGATTCTTGTTTTTTATTTAAAGCCGAAAGCCTTTTGTTTAACTGTATTGCTTCAAGTACTGTAAAATGAAAGACACTTAGGAAAACATTATATTCAATATACATTTTAAGAAAAGTATCACTAACATAGTAAAATAAATAGGCTTTATGCAATGTATAAAATTATTACTCAATTTAAAAATATTCATTCCACTGCCATTTAATATTATCAGTATCAAATAAGTTCAACTTGTTATAAATAAGTCTATTTAAACATTCCTTATTAAATATGTAAGTTTAAATAAGATAGCACCTACCATTTTGTTCTAACTTTTCATGATTCTCTTTTACCAATCCAAATTGACCTGTTATTGTGGCATAGTACTTCTCAATTTCATTCAGTTGCTTCTGATGATCTTCTTTAGCCAGAAGATGTAACTGGACTTTTTGTTCCTATTTTAAAGAGGTATTTTCATTGTTATACATAACACACAAACACACATATGTATATATATATATATATATGCACACATATATTAAACATACATAAAAATTTCCTGTTTTTAATAATTTGTTATTGATATAAATATGTCGTGAAAAAGTACTGAGTATACCACAGGGAGGAAAATGTCGGTCAGGAGATATTTCTAAATCTATGTAAAATTAAAACACTTTTTATTTCCTTGTAACAAAATAGTCACTTAGCTATACTTTCCTTGGTTACAATTACTTTTTCAAAAATCAACTGTTCTATTTTTAGAAGAATTAGTCCAGTCTACCACTAAGCAAAGTGGGGAGAATATTAAAGCAATATCCTTGATAATTTAAGAAATTTTTTCTCCAAATTTGCTGGCACAATTATGATGTGCATTATCAAAACTCAGATAATTTTTCTAAGATTAATATTAATGAATATAGCACCTTCTCACTGCATTAAAAAATGGAATGATGAGGACAATGTCTATCAGGGACAGAAAGGCAATATAATATAGCTGAGAGACATAACTGGTAAAAATGAAATCTATCTATAATGTGAGTCTTTACTACTTTCAGCTAAAGGAAATTGTTTTACCATACAGAGAAAAATGGCTTTCAATTTCAAAAAGAAATATTACATTAATAGATTTAATAACATTTTTTAAAGGTTTTAATCTTGACTTGGCATTAGCAGAATCACTGATTGGTTTCGCAATTTTCATTCATTTTGGCCACTTGGCCTCAGCTTCTATGATAAGCAGTGATAAAGAAAAGGGTAAACCCATCGACTTGGCACTCACTAACTATTTTCTAGATGAATTGCTGTTGTCCCATAAGTTTCAACAGTGGAAATCTGTCAGATTTGCCTGGCCAGCATCTGCTTCCCTTACCAAACAATACAATTTTAAGTATTTACTTGAAGTATTTCTTCCTCATTACAAAGTAGCAGGACTAAAATTCAGGAGTCATATTCTTAGTCATATTACCCAAAAAATGAAGGCTGTGTTACCCATAAGAAGCCAATTGAACACTACCTTTTTGGGATTTGAATCTGGAGCAAAAAAACTATAAAACAAAGGAAGCTGAGCAATGATCCTATCCAGACTGACATAAGAACTCTATCCTGGGTTCCTACATCCAGCTTAATAAAAATCTGGAATTTCTCTGGTTCATTCTCAAATCAATTCTTCACTCTCTGATTGACTATGAGTGTCTCCACTAAATTTCCTCTTAAACAGTTAACCAGAGCCATTTTGTACTGCTTAAAAACAAAGTACAGGCAATATAGTGAACTGATCAAGAGCAAGTCTGCCTATGTTTAAATCCTGTCTCTCTAATTTAGTTGCCATGTGATCTGGGGGTTATTATCTACCCTCTCTCTGCAACAGATTATAACAGTATCTCTCTCATTGGGTTGTTCAGAAGACAAAGTGAACACATATAAAGCACTAAGAACAGAGCCTGTCACATGACAAGTATAATATAATGTTTTATTCTTATTTCTTAATAAAAATGCCCTCAATAGTTACAATTTTTATCTGGAATAAGAACAAACCTCTCTAATACTAATAAAGAAAACACATTAAAACTTAAGTGGTACCTAACTATATATTATTGGCAAATCTGATGATAATCTTAACTTTTTTTTTTGGTATCATTAATATACAATTACATGAGCAACAGTGTGGTTATTAGATACCCCCCATTATCAAGTTCCCACCACATACTCCATTAGGGTCACTGTTCATCAGCATAGTAAGATGCTATACAATTACTACTTGTCTTCTCCAGGCGATACTGCCTTCCTTGTATGACCCCCACAACACTATGTGTGCTAATTGTAATGCACCTTTTTCCCCTTATCCCTCCCTTCTGACCCATCCTCCCCAGTCCCTTGCTCTTTGGTAACTGTTAGTCCATTCTTGGGTTCTGTGAGTCTGCTGCTGTTTTGTTTCTGCAGTTTTTTCTTTGTTCTTATACTCCACAGATGAGTGAAACCATTTGATACTTGTCTTTCTCCACCTGGCTTATTGCACTGAGCATAATACCCTCTAGCTCCACCCATTTTGTTGCAAATGGTAGGATTTGTTTTCTTCTTATTGCTGAATAATATTCCATTGTGTATATGTACTGCATCTTCTTTATCTATTCATATACTGATGGACACTAGGTTGCTTCCATATCTTGGATATTGTAAACAGTGCTGCAATAAACATAGGGGTGCATATGTCCTTCACAAACTGGGCTCCTGCATTCTTAGGGTAAGTTCCTAGGAGTGAAATTCCTGGGTCAAATGATGTTTCTATTTTTGCTATTTTGAGGAACCTCCATATAGCTTTCCACAATGTTTGAACTAATTTACATTCCCACCTGTAGTGTAGGAGGGTTCCCCTTTCTCCACATCCTCTCCAACATTTGTTGTTGTTTGTCTTTTTGATGTTGGCCATCCTAACTAGTGTGAGGTGATATCTCATTCAGGTTTTAATTTGCATTCACTGATGATAAGCAATGTGGACCATCTTTTCAGGTGTTTTTTTTTTTTTTTATGAAAAGCAAGTTCGTTTATTTTCTGACTCTTGCCAGGAATTCAAAGTTTTTTTCAGACCTCACTTTAAAGTCCTGTTTCTATAGCGCCCCACCCACATACCCACTGTGGTCTTGATCAAGTCCCTCTCTGAATCTCTCTTTCCTCATCTGTAAAATGGGAAGAATAGCAATCCTCCCTTACCTCCCCACACACCCACAGGGATTGGAAGGATTCAGTGAGCTGGAGCATAGGAAGGGGGCAGCAAAATCTCTGGCTCACAGCAGATTAGCAAGAACCTGATCCTCTGCCCATTTTTTAACTAGATTATTTGCTTTTTGTTTGTTGAGGTGCGTGAGCCTCTTTATATAATTCGGATGTCAACCCCTAATCGAATATGTCATTTATGAATATATTCTCCCATACTGTAGGATGCCTTTTTGATCTACTGATTGTGTCCTTTGCTGTACAGAAGCTTTTAGTTTGACACAGTCCCATTTGTTCATTACTGCATTTGTTTCCCTTGCCTGGGGAGATATGTTCATGAAGTTGCTCATGTTTATATTCAAGAGAGTTTTGCCTGTTTTCTTTTATGGTTTCATGACTTACATTCAGGTCTTTGATTCATTTTGAGTTTACTTTTGTATATGGAGTTGGACAGTAATCCAGTTTCATTCTCTTACATGTAGCTGTCCAGTTTTGCCAACACCAGCTGTTGAAGAGGCTGTCATTTCCCCATTGTATATCCATGGCTCCGTTATCATGTATTTATTGACCATATATGCTTGTGTTAACATCTGGACTCTCTATTCTGTACCACTGGTCTACAGGTGTGTTCTTGTGACAGTACTAAATTGTTCTTGACTTCTATGGCTTTGTAGTAGAGCTTGACATTGGGAAGCGAGATCCCCCTAGCTTTGTTCTTCCTTCTCAGGAATGTTTGGCTATTTGGGGTCTTTTCTGGTTCCATATGAATTTTAGAACTACTTGTTCCAGTTCGTTGAAGAATGCTGTTGGTGCTTGATAGGAATTGCATTGAACCTGTAGATTGCTTTAGGCAGGATGGCCATTTTAACAATATTAATTCTTCCTACCCAAGAGCATGGGATGAATTTCCATTTATTACTATCTCCTTTAATTTCTCTTTGGAGTGTCTTGTAGTTTTTAGGGTATAGGTCTTTCACTTCCTTGGTTAGGTTTACTCCTAGGTATTTTATTCTTTTTTGGTGCAATTGTGAATGGAATTGTTTTCCTGATTTCTCTCTATGTTAGGTCATCATCAGTGTATAGGAAAGCAACAGATTTCTGTGTATTCATTTTGTATCCTGCAACTTTGCTGAATTCAGATATTAGTTCTAGTAGTTTTGGAGTAGATTCTTCAGGGATTCTTATGTACAATATCATGTCATCTGCAAACAGTGACAGTTTGACTTCTTTACCAATCTGGATGCCTTTTATTTCTTTGTGTTGTCTGATCGCCGTGGCTAGGACCTCCAGTACTATGTTGAATAACAGTGGGGAGAGTGGGCATCCCTGTCTTGTTCCCGATCTTAGGGGAAAAGCTTTCAGCTTCTGGTTGTTAAGTATGATGTTGGCTGTGGGTTTTTTTGTATATGGCCTTTATTATGTTCAGGTACTTGCCCTCTATACCCATTTTCTTCGGAGTTTTTATGATGAATGGATGTTGAATTTTGTCAAATGCTTTTTTCAGCATCTATAGAGATGATCATATGGTTTTTGTCCTTTTTGTTGATGTGGTGGATGATGTTGATTTATTTTTGAATGCCGTACCATCCTTGCATCCCTGAGATGAATCCCACTTGATCATGGTGTATGATCCTCTTGCTGTATTTTTGAATTCGGTTTGCTAATATTATGTTAAGTATTTTTGCATCTATGTTCATCAGGGATATTGGTCTGTAATTTTCTTTTTTGGTGGTGCCATTGCCTGGTTTTGGTATTACAGTGATGCTGGCTTCATAGAATGAATTTAAAAGTATTCTCTCCTCTTCTACTTTTTGGAAAACTCTAAGGAGAATAGGTATTATGTCTTCTCTAAATGTCTGATAAAATTCAATGGTATATCCATCTCATCTGGGGGTTTTGTTCTTGGGTAGCTTTTTGATTACCAATTCTATTTCATTGCTGGTAATTGGTCTGTTAGGATTTTCTGTTTCTTTCTGGGTCAGTCTTGGAAGGTTGTATTTTTCTAGAAAGTTGTCCATTTCCTCTAGGTTATCCACTTTGCTGCCATACAGATTTTCATAGTATTCTCTAATAATTCCTTCTATTTCTGTGGTGTCCATTGTGATTTTTCCTTTCTCATTTCTGATTCTGTTTATGTGTGTAGATTATCTTTTTTTCTTAATAAGTCTGGCTAGGGGGTTATCTATTTTGCTTATTTTCTCAAAGACCAGCTCTTGGTTTCATTGATTTTTTCTATTGTTTTTTT